TGAGGAAGGAACGTTTGCTGTTCATTTCTTGTATTGAAATACCAAATCTCACTGCATTAGTATGCGTCCTGAGAATGGATGGGCTTTCATGCACTAACAGCATATGTAAATGAACCTTTTCCTAAAAGCAGGCACATCTGATTAGGGAGAATACGGTTGTCCTGAGAGGTCTGCTTTACTCTTTTCAACATGAAATTCTAAGAATTGCTGGGGTTTTGTTTGTTCTGTGGTTTCTCCCCCCGCCCCCCGGCTTGGAATTGATGGAGAGCACCACTGGGCAGGAAATAGCGGGAGCTTTTGTTGAATCTTAAAAGAGAGAGGAAAAGGGGCATTTTCACAAATGGAATTAGGATGATGCAGCAAAGTTTTGGATGTCTGCCAGGGAGGACAGATGCATCGAGCATACAGTGCCTTGTCTACGAGACTGCACAGTGGCAGCTTCCTGATCTGTTCATACAGCCAGCCCACAGCCCGGCATAATCACTGCAAACAGAGCACTGTTCAGCTCAGCGCTCGCGTGTGTTTGCCTGGCAACTTTTCATAGCTGAGTATGGCAAATTTTCAGCCCCTATGAACACTACTGAGGCTTCACAACATTTTGTTACGTAGTAGATTATATTTTTAAGTAGTTCTTTTTATTTGCTACTGTGAACAAGCTTGTCTTTTTCTGTGCAGAACTGCAATGTAAGGTACTCTCATTGCTGTCAAAACATGATGTTGGGATAATGTGATAGTCGGTACCTTCTGTCCAGTTATGTTTAATGGAAAACTTCACCACGGGGGCTGGGATCCCAGAATCTGACTCCTGAGTTGCGTGGGCTGCAGTGTGTGGTTTCTGCTCCTGGGTGTTGGAGTGCATCTCGATGCAGCAATGTAACTGATTTCTCAGCTTACCTTGAGAGAATGCCTGCTACAAACATACTTAAGAGATCCCTAACTAAGCCCTGAAGTGTGCTGGTAGAGATGGCAGCATCTATGCTGTGTGGTTTACAAAAAGTCCCTGCAAGGACTGCTATAAATCTGTAAGAACTATTACAGCCAAGGTCATTACATGTCCGCGGCCTCTTAATGCATTTAGCCTGCCTAGCAGGTAGGTGTCATTGTTCTTCAATAAGGAGGCTTAATTATTCTGCACATCTTTATGTAAGCCCCATTAAGTTAGGCTGAGATTTTGCATCATTGAATGACGCTGTGGGAGATTCCCTTGATTGACAGACAGGCCAAAACAGAAGAGCATTTACTGTTCTGTAACTAATGAGAGGAGGTGAGGGATCAAGTGGTTGCTGATAAGAAGAATTGGTCTCTGGACTTTGAGTTAATGAGGAAGAACACATATAGCCAAATACCCGTGTGAGGTGAAAGTGATGTATGCTGCTCAATTACCGAATAAGAGTGGCTTGTGGTTCAGAATGCCAAAGCACAACAGAGGAACTGCCTTGCAGCTTGTAGAACTTGAAAGGTTTCCCTGTACTGTTTGTAGTGCTGTTTGAAGGGCAGGGGAGCTGTGCTTCCAAAGCCACTGGGGAACAATAAATACAGCGATGTCCAGTGCAGGTCTTCAGATGGACACTTTTAGCATTAAGAGTTCTTTAGTTATAAATTAACTGGGTTTGGTTTGTGGATTTGAAAAAGTGAGCCTGAGGAAAGATGCTAAGTTATTAATGGGTCTCCAGTAGTGTTCCACTGGGCCATGCTTTGTTGTTGTGTTGTGAAGCACTGTGCTTCAAGGCTAAAATGTGATAAATGCCAGAAAATGAAAGCAATTGGTGGTACTGCAGTGCAACGCATGTTTGTTGCAGACACAGGAGGTGCTTGGCATGTGCTCATATGTTGGTGTTCACCATCAAGTGCTGCCTTCCTGGAGTGAGAGACCAGTGCTCCTGGAGTGCCCGGCTGGAGCTGTGTGGAACAATGAATGTGTGCTGGAGAACTGCCCAGGAAAACTGTTGACTTCTGACCTGATTGCTTCCTATTGCAATTAAAGCTGCGTTGTAGTTCTGGCAAACCTTGGCAATAAAGGTCTAATAATTGTCATTTTCCTTCATCCTTTGGTTTCCTGAATCCCCCTTGTGTTTTGTAGGAATTCGCTGTATTGCTATCAGTGTGAGCTCAGCACTTACCCTGTACAGTACTGACCACTTGTCGAAGTGCAGGGCGTTGCACAGTACCGCACTGCCAGAGTAGAACGGACTGAAGTTGTTCTTTTGAAATGACAATCAAGTTTGAAGTGGTGATGCATCATCAGTCTTCACCTTGTGTTGCGCAGCCTGGGGGCTTTCTTGCATTTTTTTCCTTTGATATAATGACTGCTGCTAGTATGCCAGAGAGCTGCTAAATGAAAACCATTCTCTGACCTGGAGAGCCCCCTGTACCACATAATACCTGTTTTGCTTTGTATTTTGATATATGTTTTTCTTTGTGAGCTGTAGTCCTGCTTTGTAACCAGACAAGCTCATTGAGCAGAGTCCTGCCTAGTTTGCTTTGCAGCACTGTGCTGTGGCTTCAGCTCTTTCTGAACATATACAAGGGTGATCCCATCTCTCGTGTGGGATCCTTCCCATTAATGAATCGTCCAGTTTCAGCTCATTTGTTCCTTGAGCATTAGTCAGAGAGACAGAGATGGGAACTTTGTTTTTACTCAACAGTGAACTACTGCTGGAAAGACCAGACCTCAAAGTGTTGTGTCATTGTGAACCAATAATGTACTGATATGGCCATTTAGGAACAGGCTTTGCATCCTGTGACATCGGTTTATGGCACCTGTCCTTTAGCAAGTCAAATTCAGACTAATATCTGTTACCCTTGCTCATTAAATAAAAGTTTTAGTAGATATGCTTGTCCTGTTCTCTGATATTGGAAATGAACAGTAATAGATGCTGAAGACAGTACAGTTGTGCAGCAAGACGTGAGTAATTGTAAAGCATTTACGGTAAAAACTACTTGGCCATAAAAATAATAGTTGTCCTTAAAAATATTTGACGATATTCCAACAGATGAGTATGTTCTAAGGCTGCTGAGTTACTGAGGTGATGCTCTTGAATGCTTGGCTGCTGATATCTCAGTTGTTTTGGGCGAACGGTCACATTGTGCTGCCGGTCTGCAAAGTGTCACGTCAGAGCAGAGCTGCTGCTGAGCTGGCATATGTGCTGCCAGCAGAGGAGCTTCTGCTGAAAACAATGAGAATAGAGGTGTAAAGGTAGCTCGATTCTTGTGGTGGGATGCCTGTCTTTTAAAGGAAAAAGCTTTTGTTCCCAGTTTTATTCTTGTTTCCTGCACCTTGTCATTTTAATCCATTCTTGCATTTGCGCACTGAGGTGCTCATGGCTCGCCCCACAGAGCACCCTGTTCTCTCCCTTGCTGGTGTCTTCACCCACACGTTCTCAGGAACATCTTTGATTTCCTGGATGAATTTCTGAAACCACAGAAAAATTTCTTTCTTTTCTTTTCATCACAGGCTTCACCTGTGATGGGATTGTTCTGCCAAGATCTGTAGGCAGAAGGCTGGGAAAAGCAGCTATCTGCAAACTGCCCTCTGCTTCAGTGTTAAGGGCACAGCAGGATGTTAAGGGGCATCATCTGTTGGTCTGACGAGACCTTTGTGTCTTGGCTGTCTTCAGTCCTGTAGTATTTGCTGCCTCTTTTTTGCTTTTAAGAAACATTGTATTTTGCAGATGTTTTGAGGGAAAGTGGGGGTTTGGGGCCATTCTTAATACATTGCTGGTTGTTTTTTTTCTGCTCTGCTAACAAACCCTGTGGAGAATGCTCTCTAAATTGAGGGGATGGGGAAGCACCTGCATCCTGTCCTGTAGGTTTCAAAGCAGGATTTCTGCAGGAGCAGTACTACAGCACTTCATGTGATTCCCCTATTGCTGGAGTTGGAAGGTAGTACTATGTTGCTTTTCCTTAAAAAAGAAGATATGGTTTAGCTTGTAGTTTAACTTGAAGATATCTTTAACTTGTTTAACTTCCACAGTAGGAAGGGTTACCGAATGCAGTCTGTTGTTACAGTTAGAGAGGGTTATCAAATGCAGCCTACTGTGAGCATGGAAAGAGAGTGAAGGTTGTTGGCATATGCTTCTTTGTAATTTTGCTGCTGATGGAAGGTCAGTGTTATACAACTAGGAATTGTGTGAGTGCAGTGTTCTTTATCTCTGGATGTGCTTAGTCTGAAAACTGATCAGTATTTTTAACCTTTAACTCTCTCAAGAGGGATTTCAGGGCCTTGTATGGTGTTGCAGACTGCCCCGGTTTGTTCTGACTGGTCAGCTTGTCCTGAATAGTGATTCCTTTTGGCTTCTTAATGGAGAAAAAAAGATTAAAGAATTCAAGTCTGAAATTATCATCTTGGTAGGTGTTCTCTACACCCTGGGTTACTGTGACTTCAGTACATAAAGAAAAAGGAATATGTTTTTCTTAAAATGTTCTCATCTTTACCACAAGAATATATCAGTAGCTGGCACTTGGCTGTGAGACAGGCATCTCTCAGGAGGTAAGGAAGTTGTAACAGACCTTTTGAAACCTTTGATATCCCTTTAAGCTACTTCTTTGATCCTTCTGCTGTCTCAAGTGTTGCAAAACATCACAGCAGGTACAGATCAGTACATGTAATGCTTTTTGCATTATCTTTGCTTTAAAGAGTGTGTATTTGTATGACTCTATTCTCTGTGCATCTTCAAGTGGAGTATAGGATGGGGACATGTTTATTTAGAGACCCCAGGAAATGTGGGCATGGCTTCAGGTCCTCTGTCTGCATTGTGAATTGTAAGGTGTTCTATATGATGATTGTGAGGAAATAGAATTGGTAATTAATGTTTGCTACATATTTGTCTGTTGATCTATTGCTATCTCTAATCAAAATGAACAGCCCAAATTCGTATTACAGTTTGCGTACAGCAACCCTCCACTTCCATTGCAGCTCAAAGGTTCCAAATTAGTTCAATACCTTATGTAACTGGACAGTCCTTTCTGGGTTGTGACTTCTGTTTTATTCATGTTTCTAGGGATTTTCTTCCACGAGGTTCTGGGATTGTAACAAGACGACCATTGGTGTTACAGCTTGTCACTGCCAAAACAGGTAACCTCTCTTTCTTCTGAGTTCGCTGCCTGGACAAAATGCTGTTGTGTACTTTGGCAGGAGGAAATTAAAAATCCAGGAAAATTAATCAATGCAAAGAAAGGTGCAACTGCACTGCCTGGAACAAGGGCCAGCTGCTTCAGAATTGCATGCTCAAGGCCACCTAAGCTCATTGTCCTGTCTGGTAAAATAATGCAACCTCAATCCTAGAGAACATAGTCAATTTGATCCAAGATCAAACTTGTGGCAGAGGAGAAAAGAGTTATTACAGGCAAATTGATTCACAAGTTAATTTTGATGTTGCGTTGCTTAATGAGCTCTGCAGTTGTATTAGTTATAACACATCAAGATTAAGGTACTTCTGTCTTCGACCCTTGCTCCAGTGCACACGGATTTGGTTTCATGCAGCTTGTTTTCATGACTTGTCTTTTTAGGTTGGACTCACTGCACTAAGTAGAGCAGAAGGTAGACTTTGTGAGAATGAGGCTCCTGTGTATTTGTCTGGTCAAAAATGAAAATACTGCATGTATACCACTGAGCTGTGTGAGATATTGGGACCTTTCATCAGAACTCACCACTTGGGACTCTTCCAAGTGACGTGGCATCTGCTGTCAAGTATCTCCATTCTCTGGCATGTTTAAAACCTGTTTCCTGTTTTTCTCTCTCTTTTTTTTTTTTTTTTTCCATGCTAAACAACATAAGCAATAAAATCACTGGTTTTCTGTTGACATCTTCTGAAACGAGTGAAAAGAGATTATATCCAAAGTAGGATTTAAGAAGAAATTCTCTTTAAATTGTGATACACTGTGAAGCTGGGGAAGAAACAAAGTTGAAACTGCAGGACTTGGGTCTGTCTCTATGTGTGAGATGTAATTAAGTTTTTGGGTGCATTTTTTCTCTAAAATGTCCCTATGTCATTCAGCAGGAAGGTAGGCTTCAGTCTGCCTGCACTCTAAATTTTTCTCTGGCTTACTGCTTGTAAAACACGTTCATGATTTCAATACCTCTAAGAAATTTTCTTTAGTTTTCATATATACTATGAAAGTGAAAGGAAAGATTGTAGAATCTAGTATTTCTGTATGCCCAACTTATACCTCAGGGATTTAAAGTATGTAATGTGTACTTGTAGTGTTTTATACATAGTAGAAGATCAAGTTCATTTAGGTTAGAAGTATGAACACTTGTCAAATCTGCATGCCTGGCTTCAGGGCCCTGATAAAAATGCTGAAACATGAATAAGGACCAAATGTGAAAAATCATGATGTAGTTTTTCCCGCACCATGTAGGAGCAGAAGAAAGAAAAGAATCAAGCTCTGTGCTGGCATTCCTAACAGAATGGCTGAATTGTGGGGACATAAGAAAAAAAGGAAGCAAACTCTTACACTGTAAGGTGGTTAAATCTTCCTTGACATCCATCCTAAGCATACCCTGCCTGATCTCTATTGCCTTGTTTTGTAAAATCATTGTTTTCTCTCTGGTTAAGGTCAATGAAAGGATTTCTCTTCTTCCCGATATTTTCCCTATTAATGTATTCATGTAATGTTTCCAGCCTTAGCTGCATCTACAGCTTTGTCTGAATGCCTGTTCTGCTGTGAAGTAGTTTTTCCATTACAGCTTAAAAACAACAACTCTGAAGCAATAAGCTTCTGCCTCGCGTATTGTTTCCTAGCTGCTAGGACATATTTATCCCTTTAGGAAATGCTGTGTATTTCTTGTTTGGGACCAGATGTCAGCACCTTTGAATACACGGGCTTTGATTATTTTGTTACTTGCTTTAAACTGTGTTTCATTATTTGATTTTGGTGATTTTGGTGGGAATTTTAAAAGAAAAAGGTATTTGGAGCTGCTTTAATCTTTCAGAACTGATTTAAAAGAGAAAATAAACTACGCAGAGAAGCACGGTGTTCTCTCACAGGAAGCAGATGCTGGACTGATTTTTATCAAGTTTGTAATTATTGTCTAAGCTGTTACAGAAAGTAGTTAGAGGATATTATCAGGTTTCTGCTACTGTAGCAAGCTTAACTGCTTTCTAATCCTAGAACCTTTCTCACCTCTTAAAAATAGCTATTCTTAACCTTGTAATATTCTAGGGAGGGGAACAGAACACTTTCTATATACTATGTGCTGTAACATATAAGCATGCAGAGTTGACTGCAGGGTATTTTAGAAGTGTTTTCAACTGTCTGAAGATCCTTTTGAAAGATGAATTGGTCTGATGGTTAAGGTTAAGGTTAAGGCTTCCTCTGGCTTTCAGTTGTGGCGCTAAGGGTTGAAGGTTGCCAGCTGAGGCATTTGCGCACGCTCAAGTAAGGGGGAACTTTGGTTGCTCACTCTTAGGCTTGGAGACATCATGGAAGGGTACAGCAGGGAGACATTGCTAGGGATCTCCAACATCTGAAAGGATCTGGTGTGTCTGGGTAAAGAGCTGGTGTCTTTGGGCCTTAAAAATGAGAATATGCAAGCGGTAACGTGAGACAAACCAGTACTAAGAAACGTATCTCATATGAGATGGTGCTTTAGGAGTTTGTCTGTGTCTTTTTAGAAATTTCCGTGTAATTAGTGCAAAGCTATTTTGCTGTGATCTGTTGACTTCCTCTAATCACAGTAACATTTTTTGCTACATGTGGCTTTGTGCCATTTGCATTTCCATATCCATGCAAGCACTGTACTCTGCTGAAATCTTGGAGGCAAAGACTGGTTTTAATTATCACAGCTGACATGACAGCCGTGAGTAGTTGTGCCTGTTTTCCTTTGACTCTGATAATGAGAGAAGTACCTGGTACCATGGGATAAATCATAGCATGGATGTTAAAAATGATTGTATAGTACTGCAAACGACTCTCTTGTTCTTCTCTGTACTACTTGGGGCTCTTCTTGAGTCCGCTTGAATTTCTTCTTGGAACTGCCCAGCTGCATTACAGATGAAACAGTAAATGTGTTCTGCATTCAATAAACCACTGCACCAGCTACAGGAGAAGAAAAAGATCTTCATCCTGTAAGTATTTGAGTCTCCAAGGTGGTTCTCTTCTGGTAGTCAGAATTTGGTACTCATTGCTTGTCCTAAAGCCGTTCATCCGCAGTCCTGAAGGTGGGATCACAGTGCTGTATGCTTAGTTTTCATCTCATATTTATAATTCTCTTGTATCCCTACTGTTGAAGAAAGATGGCGTATATGAGGTTTTTCTGAAATTGAGCCAAACAGCATGAAGTCATTGTTCTGTAATAAACAAATACTGCTAATGCAGCTTTGTTTGCCACATAGAAATCACAACTGAGAGCTCCCATCTTACACTGAGCGTGCGGAACGATCCAGATGCAGCTTGATGGTGTGCGGTCACTGCACTCAACCCTGGGCAGTTATGCAGCATTGGGAATCTTCAGTGCCAGGTGAACCAGGACTCTTTCTCCCGGGTGCTTTGCTGCTAGGCTTTGAAGGAACTCAGAGTAGGGAATATAGGAGAGAAAACAGTCCCACTGGAGAGGACCCACTTCACTGAGTTTTTAGAAGGCAGAGATGTGGTGCTGTTAGCTGGCAGCTGCTCTGCTGATGAGCTTTGGGTTTTTGCAGGGCAAACAGGACAATTGTGCTAAATGAGCCCAGGCATTCAGGTGCTGTTTGTTGGAGTGACTCCATCTCCCTTCTCCTGGGTGAGAAGTTGGTTGTGAGGGCAGTTGACTTTGTGAGTCTGATATCCAAACCAGACAAAAGATGTGCTGGCTCTTCAAGCACTTGACTGCTGCTTCATAAGAAACAGGAAGCTCATTTGATCTGACCAGAAAGCATTTGGTTTGAATACTAAACAGTTGTGGTGTTTCAGCAGTTACCAATGAGTTGAGTGCTGCTCTCCTCCCTTACTTGTGATTCCTCTTCAGGAGGAAGGATGCAACTACAGACTCCTATAGTTGTGCTCCTGGAAGTATTTCTCTGTGTGTGTCTTTAGGATGTAATTATTAGCACGCAGTATGAGCTGGGACAGGAGCTATAAGGGCTGTGTTAGTGTTCAGCCTTCTAGGAGAAGTATAACTGAAGTCTGTATCAGGTACCTTGCTTTCATTTCAACTCTTCTGTCTGCAAACTTTACTGATAAGCATGCTAACTTACAGTGATTTGTTCTCTGTTGCCAGCATTCCTTAAGGGAAGGCTTAAGATTTTCTTCCATTCGCTTGGTGTGCCTTCATTTATACATCAAAACCTATTTTGTAAACATAATTTTATTGCAGCATCCCTATGACTTTAGGCAATCTGTTCTTCTTTCTGATATGTTCTCTCCTGCTTGTGATGGTGAAGTAATTATCTAGGTTCCTTGAGACTGGCTACTGTGCTTTTTAAACAGTAACAACAGCTAAAAGATGTTCTCTGGTTTTGGGTGAGGCTATTGCTGTAGGTCTTACATTTGTTAGAAATGCTTTGCTCTCTGTGTGAATTGGCTGTTTAAATGTTAAAATACTGTGGAGGAGGGTTGTTTTCCTCATTTTGATAACTGTTTTTTGAGCAGCTTTGAATTTCTTTCATGGTCGGTCCTTTGATTTCTCTGCTAAAGAAAAATGTCAGGCTAACAGATTTTGAGAAGTGTTACTGAGCTGGACGTTTTTAGATGAACGCTCCACATGTACAGTGCCCACATTTGTTTCAGTTCTGCCAATTAGAACATTAAGTGGAATGTAAATCACCGTAGGGTTCAAAAATGTTGTGGATTTTTTCTCAAATCTTGCAGATGCTCTTTCCTTTTGAAGTTGCTGAGCTTTAATGCAAGTGCCCTTGCATTGAAGTGTTACGAGGCTTCATTCCTTAGGCGCATCCATCTTTTATTGCCATCTGGTGGCAAAAAACATCCATAGGAGAAAATGGAAAAAATTGTTAAAAGAACGTAGGCTGCTTAATTCACTTAATACAAATGATCTCACAGATTTCCTCAGCAGGAATGGGGCCGTGAAAGACCCGCCATCCGAACAGGGCTAATAAGCTCTAAGGAGAGCGCCGTTAGTGCGAGGCTGCAGGCCTCCTCTGCCTCTCTGACTGGTGTGTGTGTGTGTGTGTGTGTGTGTGTGTCTGTCTGTCTGTCTGTCTGCAGTAACCTGAGTAGACCTGCAGTAGCATTCACATTTGATCACTGACAGAACACAAACCACTGATGTCATGCTCTTGTAAAACAGAGAAGTAAATGTTGTGCAAGGTACATTAACAGCAATACAGTCTTAAAAACAAGTTGCATAGAAAGCATAAGCTCTAGAGCAAGGTTGAAGGAACAGAGATGTCTCTCTTGTTTCCTAGAAGCAAAAACTGTCAAGGATGCACCAGACTATTTCAGTGAATAGCATACTTACTTTTCCTCCCCCTATATGAGTGTTTACCATTAATAATAAATAATAATTAAAGCATTTAATTGGTTCCTAAGTCTATGACCTGGTATTTTATGCTGGTCAAATCTATGCTGTTTCCAATGTTTTTAAGCTCTTTGGCTATGATATTCTTGTAGTTCTGTGCGTCAACAGGAATACCACTTCAGAAAACTCTTGTACTTCTTGTAGACTTGCTGTTTGAAGGTTAGCAGGGAAGACCTGAATTTTATCTTCATCATGTCAACAAAGCTAGAGCAACGGAGAATTAAAAGGAATTGTAGATTGGATGAGACAACAAGGGTTTTTGGTACTGCCTCTCTCTCTCCTATTAAAAAATATTGAACGATTTTTTAAAGTCTAAATGGATCAACTGCATTTATTTTGTTCAGAAAAAGCTGGTCCATCATCAAAGAAAAGGTGATGGGCTTTAACTTGTGAAGTCTGGTTCTGTGTTTTTAAATCACTTCTTTGAAAGTGCCCTGAGGCTGGTGGACTGTTAGCTGAAGCTAGCAGAAATGTCATTTTCGGGTGAGATTTTCTCCCTAAAGGATTTGGAAGATAGAAACCATGGGCACAGAAGGTATTCCCTCTCACAAGGTGTATTTAAAATGTTTGCTGTAGACCTCTGATTTCCTGCATCATCTTTCTTTGAAAACTCCAAGCTGGAGTGTTTGCTCCTCTGAGATACCATGGGAATAATTCTTGCTGAAATCAGACCTGGAGGAACTGAATTTCTGTCTCGTCTCACTGGTAAATTCCTGAGCTCTACGAGGTTGTTCTGTTAGGGTAACCTTTTAGGGCTTTATCAGACTGTGGTGTGGGTTCAGACTGATGCACATCAGGGGCGTTTTCCAGAAACCTTTAATGTATTTCTAAGACCTGTTTCTTATCTTGTCGCATGGCTTACCTAACTTGGCTTTCTATAGCTGGCCTGTGGAAGAGCTCAGCACAGTGAATGAGTGGTCTGGAAACAGCAATAGCTGTTTGTTGTTTGTAACAGTGCATTGCTGTGCTGGATGAACTCACAGAAGTCCTTGGGGAAATAACATAGAGGAAAAATGAGAAGTCTTCTGCAAAATATTATCCCATAACACCCGTTTGCACATCTTGTCCAAATGAATCAAAATTGAAGAGAAATGATAACCTGTTGTGACACTTGTAGCTGGATGCCATAGAGAGCTGTGTGATGGTAGCTTCTTTGTTCCATGTTATCCAAACTGCTTTAAATGATACTGTTTATTTATAGATAATTTTGAAAAGTATGATACATGTGAAGATGATGGTTGTTTCTTTTTCTTATTCCTTCTCTTGATGTAACTCCAGCTTTATACAGAAAACACATCACTGAACGCTGAGTGTCAGGCAGGATCATGCCTTCTGTCCAACTCTGTGTCTGTTCCCACAAGAAGTTTAAGTGTTAATCTGTTCCTCTGTGTGTGAAGGTTAAAAACTGAGGCTTGCATTAAAGCGTGTGTTCATCCAGGCTGAGGGCATCACTGCCAAGGACAGGCGAGGGGCTGAGAGGCCCAGAACAAAGCACTGCTTGTTCATCTGGATTTTTATTCTGTAGGCTGTGCGGCTCCACAGGTTATGCGCAGTTGTAAAGCCTCTTCCTTCAGAACTAATGGGACCACAGATGGCTCTGAGGGGAATGAGAAAGAGGAATATATGAGAAAGAGAAATATTAACATAGCTGAAAGGTAGTCAGCTTTTTCACTTGGATTACCTTGAAGCCTTTCAGACTGGGACTTGTCCTGTTATTAAATGTCATGTGGAAGAAAGAGAAAAGCTTCTTTGAGCTGAGCCAGCCATCTGATTGTAAATAAGCACAAAGTTTTTGGTTCAATTTTGAAATCTTTTGCTGAGAAAATATGATGAGCCACCAGTTTAAAAACTGTAGATGGGAAGAATGCGGTTTGTTTTGTCCCAGGAGCACTCAGACAAAATAGGAACCACTTGTCAGCTCTTATTTTCAGTAGGTACCTATTTCCCATCTTTGCAATAACAAGTGTTACAAGTGTAATATCTTCTCTCTCACTTTGCAGTATTTGAATATTCCTTGTTGGTTGTTATTTTATTTTTTTTAATAAATACTTGAATATTAAGTATACAGAAAAATATTGATTGTCATTATCCTATGCTCTGGAGTTCTTAAGTCGTGAAAAGTAAGATGAAGTGCTCTCTTATTCTTAGGATGAGAAGCATTGTTTTTGTCTCAGCAAGGATGGGTTTCCCTGTCCCTCACACTTTGAATCCCAGGGAGTTTATGGCAGTGTGGGGCAGTGAGGTGATGTTTGCTGTTTGCCCACTTCTTGCTGTTTTTGGCTGTTGGTTTGCTTTTACTACTGTTATGGTTTTACATCTAGTTTTGACTATTTCATTTTTTTAACAACGCGGTCAGCCACGGTAGTAAAATGATATAAGGGAAACCTGCGGGACGGACTTAGTTGTGACAGATAAAGCCATCTATCCATTTGCACTCTCTGATCTGCTGCTGCTCAAACAGCAGCAGCTCAAGCAATTTCCTGGTGTTCAAGGCATTTCTATCAGAAATGTTTCCTGCAGAAGAAGTACCAAAATTGAACTGTGAGATCAGGCTTTGACTGCAGAACAAAACTGACTTGAACTTGCAGTCTTTTGTCTTTCTCCATCTTTTGTCCTTTCTTCATCCTACTGCTTAGACCCTGTAGGAACAGGATGTGAGCTCATATCTGTCCTCATTAGTGTTTGTCACAGCTTTCAGCAACTTCTATGTTTATCTTCTTTTGAAGGATGAAACTCCACTTTCAAAATCCTGAGGTGTGCCTTTGGCTGTACACCATGAGGGCAGGAAATCCTGAGGAATCCAAAGAGTAGAAGCAGTGTTTGGATGCAAGTGTGAAAACAGGGACCTAGTGTCATGTTGGAGTCAATGTCTGATAGCAAAACAATTCCTACTTGATACCCTTGTAGGCTAAGAGGACAAGCTGCATGATGAGTGGAGTTTTGCCACTTCAGTGAAATCACAGCTACACCTGTAGAAGCTTTTACAAACTGTTAAAGCATGGTTTGGATTTAGACTATGGGAAGTCTTTAGTGAGGAGTTGTATTTGAAAACACTGAAGTGTTTTAAGTGCTCTTATTTTCATTATCAACTTGTAAAAATGTAGAAAACTCCCTTGCTAAGATCATCTGAAACAAGTGCTGTTAGTTTTTGAAAACAAATGGCTATCTTTTGTGATATGGAACTTGAATAACTTTTCTTCAGTTCAGTGATGTATTATGAGCAAAAGTAATTGCATGAAAAGTCAGAATCTGAGTTCAAACCAGTTCTTTACTCTGTAGACGTATGTGGTATTTATCTGAATCTTTCAGGTTGTTTCGAAAGAAGAAATGCTAATGATAAAAGCAGTAAATCATATTCAGTCAACCTGACTTCTTTAACAAACTCTTTCACCTGTGCCATCGTATTAACTGCATGTGCTCATATGGAATGTTTTCTTGATATACGTGATGACATGCTTTTGTGTATCCTCGTGTGAAGAGTACCTAGGGGCTTGAAAATAGTGAAGCCTGTTATGAACTTGTGAAATACAGACATGCTATTGATATTCTTCACAGAGTATGCTGAATTTCTACACTGCAAAGGAAGAAAGTTTACAGATTTTGATGAAGTTCGTCAGGAAATTGAAGTAGAAACAGATAGAATAACAGGAGTGAACAAAGGGATTTCTTCAATTCCTATTAATTTAAGAATATATTCTCCACATGGTAAGTGAGATCATTCAACTGTATATTCCTGTGATGTAATATATTACTGAGCTCTGTCTGTTTATTGATTAGCAGTCTTCTGGGATGCAAAGATTTCCACCAGAAGTGGATATACCTGTGTAAGGAAATTCAGCATCTGCTGCATTATGAAACCACTCTACTGCAGAGAGCTGTTACTTCTAGAGTTGGGCAGAACACGGACTCTATCCTATTTAATCTTCTCATGATTTTAAAATATTCCCCCTCTACATCAGGGAGAAGCCAATCCTTCCTGCAGCACATATACTATTAGGAGCTCACCAGTCTCTTTGGTAAAGAGACATAGGAGGTAGCAGATGAAGTGGAAAAACCCTTCTTGCCTCCACCCATATGGATTTCTTAGATCAATGATCTAGAAAGTCATTATATCTCTTTGTCCTGTTGGATGTTTCTTATTCCTTGTCACTAAGAACATACTTGGACAATGCTGATGTTTAAAGCTGCATTATGTTATAGATCCCCAGCATAGATGAAAGTTCTGTTCTCTGGTTGCCATCTGCTCTATTTAATGAAGGCAATCTAGAGGAAATGTTTTGCGTTGAGTTCAGTCTGCATGTAGGGGAAAAGTGGTGTGCCTGGATCAGGCATTTATCTAACCACCTCATCTGATGCCTTGATTGTGAATCAAAGGACATAAGGATTAAAATAAGAGGAGAGGTAATTAAAGAGATGCTGGTCCTCCCTTTGATATGCCTTGGCTCTAAGTGTGTGCTCCTGAGCCCTGTTGCTGCTACGCAGACATGGCGCAGCAAACAGGAGAGTAACTGAACTAAATGCTCTGCCTCACAGCAAGCTTCCTGAACGTGCTGACACCAGGAGAATGTGAAAGTTTTCTACCTAATGCTCTTAATTTGTTTTATGGATCAGTCTTTTAGTGTAGCAACTATTATCTGTATTGGACAGGCACCAAAAGTATTTCCTTTCTAGGAATCCTAATTTTCTCCTTTGTCTGAAGGATATTCTGTTGCAGTAGTAGTTGAACAAGCTGATGCTTCTAGGTGGTCTGTGGATTGAAGTATGAAATATGAATGGCCTGTTAACTGTGCTACAGCTAATGGAAAAAGCTCAGAAAGCCATATTCATTTGCCTAAGAGACTTCAGTGATATTCCATATAAGTAACATTTGCCTACACCAGTTGTAATGTTTAAAATATCGAGTAATACTCTTAAATCCAAATGAAGGAGCAGTAGGGAAGCAACTACAGTAACAAATACGCTTTTCAGACTGTCAGGTGTTTTATTTGAACCACTGATAACTGCTTTTGGAAGTATATAAGCTTTGTATAAGATTTTATGTGACTAAAATCTGTCTACAGCCGTACCTGTATAGATCTCTTTAGATGTGTCTGGCCTGCTAACCAGTGTTGTGGTTTTGTGTTCTCCATGCAGTACTAAGCCTGACTCTTATTGACTTACCGGGAATCACTAAAGTGCCAGTAGGAGATCAGCCTCCAGATATCGAGCAGCAGATAAGAGACATGATAATGCAGTTCATCTCTCGAGAAAACTGTTTGATATTGGCCGTGACTCCAGCTAACACGGATCTGGCCAACTCAGATGCTCTGAAGTTAGCTAAAGAAGTAGACCCTCAAGGTAAGCATGATTAAAAGTAGCCATTGAGCCTCTTTAAACAAATTTGAGGAATACATTTCAGCACTGCCAATGATGACCTCTTCATTTCCAATCATGCCCTTACTTGCAACTGTGGTGGTTGTTGTGTGATAAATCTGAGATGATCACATTGTTAATAATCACTATGGAACTGTAGGACATAATTTGTTTTTTTTCCAAATAAATGATTTTTTCACTTTTGTTTTTTTTTCCCATCTCTGACTTGATTAGGCCTTAGAACCATTGGTGTGATCACAAAATTGGATCTGATGGATGAAGGAACAGATGCAAGAGATGTTCTAGAAAATAAACTACTTCCTCTTCGTAGAGGTAAAAATGTTCCTTTGCCTCTGTTCCTTGGTTTTGGTAACAGCAGTGTTTGAGAGTTCTGGAGATGAATGAAGGGTTATCCTGGACCTGATGAGTTCCTAGCTTTTATTATATTCCATTCAGCAAACACAGAAAGGGGATGTGCTAAAAATATCCTATAAGTAAAATAATTTATCCTGGACCTGGAAAATATGCTGCTTATTCCCGAGGAAACAAGAAATGTCAGCGTTATTTATTAGCCAGTTTTCTTTTTCTGTGCCAGGTTGCTGTCTCTTTCAACAAAAGAGTCTTTTTTCTTACGTATGACAGAAGCCAGCACCAGCGCTTCGGTAATCTTGCTGTTAACCTGGTTTTGACCTCTTGTGGAAGTTTTCTATTTGATTGTTCCAACAGCTACTGTTACAGTCACTTTCACTGTTAACAGTAGCAATAATTTTGTTTCTAGTCATACTTGGCTTATGAGACCACCATCTCCTTTCAGTATATGAGCACAGCAAAGAAGTTGTGAACGTATTCCTCCAGCAGACATGGAGAAATTACTCATTTTTCCTGTATTTTCTTAGTGCTGTATTGTTTACTTACCCAGGCTTGTTGGGTCTTCTTTTTGTTGTTCTTTTTTGTTACTTTGATTTTGTTTTTATTTGAAGTGACTTCTTTGGAGTGCACTGAAGTTTCAGATATTTGTACGCTTGAATTAGTAACGTAAAAAGAAGTGCATCTATTTCACATAAACAGAATGAACAAATTGGATGTTAAGTTCATTTGCAGTGCTTGTAAATGATGTTGTAAAAAAAGAAATACCTGAATTAGAAACCTTTGTTTGAATTGAGGCAACATAGTTCAATTTAATATGAATCCAGTTGTGTAGAGAATACCTGCATTAACATGCCCATTGGGCTGGGATTGTTTCAGGTTATATTGGTGTTGTGAACAGAAGCCAAAAGGACATTGATGGGAAGAAGGACATAAAGGCAGCTCTTCTAGCAGAAAGGAAATTCTTTCTTTCCCACCCAGCATACAGGCACATGGCAGATCGGATGGGAACGCCGTATCTTCAGAAAGTTCTAAACCAGGTAAAACCTGAGTTCTTTGTGGAGACAGCTTTGATATAAAATCTTCACTAAAATGAACCTTATTTATTCTTTTCTGCCTTTTAATTTTTACAGTGTAATTAACAAAGTAGCATGTTAAAAATAACAGAAATGTGCCGTGGGATATAGGGAACCTAATTTGTAGGCACTTGTCAGTATTCATAAACCTACAATAATTAAGATTGCTAATTGCAGAAATTTCCATCGTTGATAACATAATATTCAATCTTGATTTTTGTTCCAAGAAAATCATGACTGTATTTTTTATTTCTCACTCAAAAACTTACTCAGATTGGTACCTCATGCATCCAGACACAAGCTAATAATGGTACTCTTTGACTATGCAGTTTTCCAACTTCGGGAATTCTGTAATATTTTATTCCACTTTATTAGTTTGTAATAATCTAGAGTAGCTTCTCTTAGCTCTGTCTGTATTACTTAAAGCTGCAATTTAAGCTGTAATATTAATTACAGATGCAGTAAAATAATGTGCACATACCCCCCAAATCCTTATGAAGATACTGGAGGGGTACAGAGCCATTCAATAGACTTCCTTTTTTTCCTTTGGGGCCGTGCACAGCAGCACATAGTTGTAACCTACAGTCTTCTTTCAAGCTGGCCTGTGTGCTGTGTGGGTGAACAGAGTAACTCTGAGGGAGACTGTGTAGAAGCAAGCTGGTTTTGGCCATGAAAGAGTACAAGATGTTCTCTGCTGCCTTGGGGAGGACTTGGCATTCCTTGCAAAAATTCTTTTGCTCCAGCAAAGCAGAATTGTGTGCGCTCAATCTACAAAACTGGAAGTGTAGTCACAAGAGATGGAAAACAAGGGTGACAATTCTAAGTAACCTTGGAGCACTGGGATCCTAACATCTTCCAATATCAGGGTACTCTTATATCTTCTCCCTACCGCTTTTCATGCTCAGGATAAATTCGCTCTTACTTAGATGTGTGCAGAACTTTTGTTGTTTTTAATTTACCTGATAATAATGCTGTTTATGACTTGTACTAACAGTTCTGCACTTCCCTATTCTCTTGAATACTGAATATGAATGTACAAAAAGTAAAATTCTCTCTTCCTTGGTGTTTCTCCAAGTACACTATTCTGTAATTATCACATTTCTTCCAGTTTAACACGACTCTTAGAAATCGATTCTGGCAATCTGTGGGGGGAAGAGGGGAGGAGAGGGATGTTTTGAGATATGATGTGTCCTGAAGGTTCCCTGCATATGTGTACTTTAACCTGAAAATCTATGCTTTGATGTAGTTTTTAGTAGAAACACATACAGTACACTAATGATATAAATGACAAACACAGGAGGACTTGGTTCACACTGCCTTTAGTTTTGCCCAAACCTTTGGTCTGTTTCTAAGTGTTCATGCCCAAACTCATCAGATTGCAGCTTTCTTCAGCAGGAAATAGGGGTCTTCTATTCTACCAGATACCTGGAGAAGAAACTTGTAGCTTACTGTCCTAGTCAATATGCTGCCTGCTGCACAATTGCAGAAATATGTAATTCTTGTCACCACTGTGTCCATTGGTAATGCCAGCCTTAGCTTGAATCGTATGTGACCCTGATGATAATGAGTCTCAACAAATTCAAAAAGGGCAAGACCAAACCCTGCCTGCCCCCTAAATTTACTGATGATGCTATGATTTATTTATTTTTTAAAATTTCATTGGTATTATTACTGTTACTTAGAAACTAAGTTTTATCAGCCAACCAGTGCTTTTGACATTCCTAAAATCTGGAGTTGATAGTATTTTCTCCAGTTCATTGCTGAATTGCTGCTATAGGTTTGGAATAGACAGAGGCGAGGTCAGCCTGGCTTTGTCAATTTTGGATAGCAGCTGGAAACAGCACAGGGCATATTGGATAAGTAGACCACATGGTTGGCCTGCTAATTTCTTGCTGCACTGACTTTGCAGCTGCGTATCTTTACAACCAGGTTAAGGTATACTCTGGGCTTGTTCAGAAAGAATGCGAATGCTATTTATTTGTGCCTTAGAAAAACATTCTTCAACAGAATGCAAGAACTTGCTTGCATCCTACAGGTTTGTGTGTGTTTGGGATGTTTTGTCTGTTTAAATGCACTGAAAGATTAATACTTCGTGTCTTAGTTTTGAAACTAAACCAACTGAGTTTTCATATTCCTTGAAACTGTCTTATATGTCGTTGAGTTTATATACTAGTAACATTTTTGACCTTCTTTTCCTTTTAGTTTATCTATTTCAGTATGAATTGTTGGTCTTCTGTTGCTATTACTGTATGTAGAATATTACATGAGAGGTTGTATGCAAGAATTGTCCCCAGGTTATTAATACATGAGTGTTTGTGGTACCGGGTAGTATTTAAATTATTCTGCGTCCACAAGGTGGTGCTCCAGGGAAACCCCAGCGTTTGGTAATGTGCCTTTCAGGCCTTCTGAACAACTTTGGGGCTCAGTTTTCCTACTTTGGTATTTGACATTCTTTATTTATCATTGTGTGACTGGGAAGGTATAGTGAAAAAAGTCCATTTTAGTTTAAATCAAGGAATGGATACAATGCATGAGAGGCTCATTGGACAGTTGGCAGTATTGTACATACACATTACAACATACATGGGCAGAAGTAACTGAGATAAGAGCTTTTCTAAGACTTTTTCTACTCCAGTTTATTTTCCAGTATTTTTAGGTATATTTTCATGAATGAAAGCCAACATTCTTCAGTGATAATGCTTTATATCAAGATTTTTAAAAAATACATATTTTTAAAGAAGTGCTGTAAGAGGGCTAAATCTCTTTAGTGTTCTGCATACAACGAAGTAGAAGTGTTGTGAAAGTCAGTTTTGTGAGTAGTGAGAGTGCTAAGTAGATACTCTGTATGCCTATACTGCCTTCTGTCACTGTTCGCAAGTGGTTTTGGATGCTCAGAATCAGTGAAATGGATGTTGGCAACAAAATGCTGAGTTATTGTGAGAGTCCATTTCAAATTAAAATAACTTCTTAGCATATAGCTAAACAACTATGTCATATCAGGCCATACTGAGTGAAAAAGTCAAGAAGTTTTTCCAGCCTCCATATAATGTGTACATGAAAGGGGTGTTGTGGTGTTCTTGAACTGTCTCCATTGCTTCAAAGATCAAGAGGAATTACACTAGTAAGCTAGCACAGGCTACACTGATATGTTTGGCAGCCAGAAGGAAATAGCTATGCTCTTGCTTTCATCTTTAGTAACAGTATAAAAGGACTTCTATTTGCTTTTTAGCAACTTACCAATCATATTCGGGATACCCTGCCAGCCTTCAGGAGCAAACTTCAGAGCCAGCTGCTTTCTATAGAACATGAAGTAGAGGTATACAAAAACTTCAGACCAGAAGATCCAACCAGAAAAACAAAAGCCTTGTTGCAGTGAGTGTTGTCTTTTATCTGCTTTCCATTTGTCTATAGGTTTGGTTTGGTTTGTTTTGCTTGACTTTTTTTTTTTTCCCCGTGTGTTTAAATGTTAGGATATGGAAAAAGATGCTTTATTCAAGCTCTGAAAAATGTTGTGTTTGGTGTTCCAGAACACTTGAATATTTCAGCAAGGGTTTCCCTAAATTAGCATTAGCAATCATAGAAAGAGAAAAGGCAGAGCAGGGAAAGGTACAAAGATGAGTAACATACATGATGTTAAGGTAAGAAACTGCTTTAGATTGCAGGACTCATTCTACAGCCTGTCAAAAAGATGCCCTCAAGCAAAGGGAGGAGGTTGTGTTAGAGTTCTGTAAGATGAGAAGCATAAAAGGAGAATAGGAAATGTTCGTGTTTTTTTTTTTAATAAGATATGAAAACTTGGCCATCCAAAAGAACTTGCAAGTGGCAAGATCAAAATTAATCTTTGATGGTAGTCCTTTGTGTGGTATGCAGCAAAGTTACAGAGCTCCTTATGAAGGAGCTGATTCTAAAAGATGGTTTGTCTTCAGAAAGCAGTTAAGCATGTTCTTGTGGACAAGGAAAATATTCAAGTTTGGTGAGTACAAAGTCATATCTCTGTTGTTTTGGGACACATGAACAGCAACTGAGGCCAGTGCTGAAATTCAGAAAGGAAAATGGTCACCTGAACTATCAAGACTTCATTGATTCAGCCACAGACTTTGATTTACTCCTTGCTTTTTGTAACAACTGTGTCAAAAGAGTAGATGTAATTCTGTCCCTCATAACTTAAGATGTTTTGATTGAGAGGAAAACCTGGGAACAGAGCCTGGGACTCTTCTATGAGAGTACAACGTGGGTATTTTTATTTTTGTTAGTCTGTATTATTGGTCATTAAGCTGATAGAAGTATATATATGAAGTTGTGACTCGTTCGGTCTGTGAGCATCTCAAGCATATTCTGCTACAGTACTGTTTTCTAAAGGAAAAAAGAATTCAAAGGAATTGCTAGTATTTTTCTTTCTAGTAAATAAATGAATGTGATAAATAGCGAGAGCAATTACAGTGGAATAGAAATGAAGCCTGGTGCCCTGATATATTTGAAGCTGACTTTAACATATGGTTTAATAAGCTGTTGTTATTATTTTTAAACACAACATTTAAGAAAAAAGGAAAGTAGTATGTGGAGCTACATCCTATGAGGAAAAAATGTGGGGGGGTGTGTATGTATGTAGGAATGGATTTACAAGTATAGCACCCTGGATAGGCAGCTTGGGTGAATTAATTGTTGTAGACACTTTTGTCAATTCCCAAACCCATTTTAATTGGTCAATAGTGCTGAACTAATAGTTGATAGTTGAAGTGCTTAAGTTAATCTTTTTCCATCTCTTTGAAATTTAGGATGGTACAGCAGTTTTCAGTGGACTTTGAAAAAAGAATTGAAGGATCAGGAGATCAGGTCGATACACTAGAACTTTCAGGTGGTGCCAAAATCAATCGTATTTTCCATGAACGTTTCCCTTTCGAACTAGTGAAGGTATTTATCCATATTGGTGATGTTACTTTTTGTCTTATTTATGTATTCCTATTTCAATACCAAAAGTACTAAAGCAAAGATAAAGCTTGATGTGAGGAACATGATCTTTACTGTAGAAGAAATTTCATTACGTGATTATTGAGACATTTAGCTTCATTTCTAGTTATGGGTACTGAGATACAATGAAGATTCTGAAGTATGGCAATATGAATGTAATTATAGTCCCAGCTCCTATTATTTTTCATGCTTTTTATTTTTTTCTCACTAATGGCATTTTCTTTCTGGTTAGGTGGGGAAAAGAAACAACTACCATTGGCAAATTTCAGTTGCTGTGTTCAAGTAGCTAGTACCTGTTAAAGCTACACAAATGAAACATGTACATTTTGCAGGTTATTTTCTTGCTTTTTTCAGAGCATAAGACAAAACTGATTTTCTGTCCCATGTTTTCATAGTGGAAAGGGGAGAGGGAGTGGAACAAGTTCAAATTTGGTGTTTAGAGAACTTTTTTTTTCCTCCTGATACATCTCTTGCTTACCCACCTTCTGAGTGACAGAATAAACTACAGTGGTCTGTGAACTAAGAAGTGGTCAACTGAATTCATGTTGTGTTCTTTCACCTTTTCTTTCACTTCAGTGATCCTAGCTTCCCCTCTCCGTGAGTCCTGCTGTATTTCCAGTCTGCTCTCTTTGACGCTTTTCCTAAGTTTCCTTGTATTTTATGTATGGCTGCCTCGATAATGGCTTAGCTTTCAGCTGAGTGAGAATCACACAGGTTTTAGCTAGTTCTGAGGTTTAAATATGCTGTGCCAACTAGCACTTCAAGAGAACGAGCTACAGTTGGGATTACATAGTGAGCCTTTCACTTGTGACAATACTAAAATATTGTTCAGCTAGTTTGCTTTTGAGAAACGTGAAGAAAGGGTTCGTAACTCCGAGACCATTCATTCCTCTCTTAAATTTGGTTGAAAAACAGTAAGATGGGAAATTGAGGATTGTATGGGAACTGCTGAATCAAGACCTGAACTTCGGAGGCGAGCAATGAGTCAGCCATGGGAGCACAGGTGAAGCAGCAATGCTGCTGGAAGGGGTGGAGCCAGGCTCCACCTCTCCTAGACCCCATTTAACAGCTGACTGCCAGTGGGGAAGGATCTCTTCTGGAGAAGATCTCTGGATCTCTTCTGTCCTCTGAAGTTTTGTAGCGAGCCCAGGGTACGGGCAAGCATTGTATCTATTCTCTTTTGGTATAATAACTGCTTAGCTAAACTCTCTGGTATATTTCATAATTATAACATCTGTACATTTATTGATTATACAAGGATAAGCAGAGAACATGATGGTGTAAGTTGTACCACTTCATGAAACCAGACTTAAAAATAGATAAATAAATAGTGTCTTTAAAATGTTGTTTCTGGCTTTATCCACCAACTATTGTCTCTTTTGGAATGTGCTGCAAGATCATTTCAGCTGTTTGATATATTGGGAATAGAAGGGTGCATAATTTCTAGCAGTCCTAACTGTTGCTTGTAGCCTTAGTGTTAAAACATTTCATAATACTTACCTTTTGTTCAGCATGATTAAAGATTAATGTTACATTAGTTGAGCTTGCCTGTCTTCCAATTATACTGGAAAAAAGTAATATTTTCTATTTCACTTCAAAGCTTCCCCTAATGTGATCTCAAATGTTTTTGTTCCTTTAGATGGAGTTCAATGAGAAAGAGCTGCGGAGAGAAATAAGTTATGCAATCAAGAACATACATGGTATCAGGCAAGTGCACCCTCTTTTCAAGGCTGATCACATTGCATTTTCAAGGCTGATCACAGGTCATCTTAATCTGTGGATGTGCTGATTGTTGATTGCTAGACTACATTTTTAATGCACTGCTTCCAATAGCTGATGTTTCTTCTACTCCTTCATACCTCTCTTTTTCGGGTAGCTATTTTGAGCTGATCAGCTGGTTTGCCTGGAGATGTTCAGTTTACTTGAAAATCTTGGAAAATTATTTTATAGAGAAAATCATTTACTTTTATTTCCTGGTACCGCCAGCTGGAATGTATAACTATGATTTTCAATATAACGTAAGCTTTCTACTGTATAAAGCTGTTGGAATTGGTGTAACTGATTGTAACTATACATTCACGGGGGAGAAATTTTTAGCTCTCCCTTTTCTGCTATTACTTAGTCACCTTACTAGGTAAATCAGTCTAGAGTGTAAGGAAGACTTTTTTCCTTTCAGAAAATGGTATAAAGCTATGAAGCAATGCAATTTTGCGCACACACTCACTACAGACATGTCAGAAACCTGTAGAAAGCACAATGAAAGCATAAGTTCAAAGGCTAGCTATGAGGCTGTCTGGAACTTGACATATCAGTGGATTGAAAGTACTGCTGGGATTTAGGAATGTTGAGACTGTCACAGCTGAGTGAAGCTCTTCTTCAAAGGATGTCTCTTAAATGCAGTCATTCAGTGGCCAAAAATGTAAGCGGGAGATTTGCTCGACAGTTAATACCTACAAAGCACACAAAGAAACTCTCAAATAAATGCTGTAGCACTCAATAGTATTTGCACATGGCTTAATCTGTACCTCTCTTCATGATATCATTGGCTTTTTCCTGGTATGCTGCAATGGTAAATGTGTCCAGATACTAAATAGACCTCACCTCAGACATTTTCTGCCCATCCTTTAGGCTTACTCATCCTATCCATTTTGGGATGCCTTGTCAAGGTCATAGTTTTCTTTACTGAAGAGCTATCACGTGAGCTTTTCTGCCTTTTTACTTCAGAATTGGTGCCAGAAGTAATTCTAGCTGCCTACTTTAAGGAAGCAAAGTTTTTGTTAACATTTGTGCATCAAGTAGTGGTGATAGAGCCGAATCCATTGTAGCTTTCACAAACGTAACTGCATAAAGCAAGAGGAGACAAAGAATCTAAATGTGACATGCATCAATAGTGGCTCGTAAATTTTTAGCTGTGGATAAATTGTGGAAATTCATAATGTCTCCTTGTTTCTGACAGATGAAGGCTTGCAACTCCGCTCTTCTCTGTTCTTACTTCACTGATTAGATAAAATTAATTCCTGCATCTCCACATTTAGAGATGGAGAAGTCTTATAAGATAGATGTGAAGGATGTGAGAAATTACCATGTAGGTTAACTGGCGCTGCGAGGGGTCCTTCAGGAATAACATAGAACCTTTCTAGGGAATGTCATAATCTACAAACATATTGTAATGCAATATCAGCTACTGTAAGCTGAACAAAAGACTTTTTATTTAGGGTTAAAAGAAGTTCTCCAGCTTCTTCATTGCAGCATTATGTACCAAAATCTGAAAGCAGCATGTTACCTCAAACAATCTAATGGCATAGAATTTCCTTCCCTTCTTTGAGATTGTTGCTTGTCTCAGTTACCTGATGGGGGTTCATCTTTTGGTGCAAGGCACTTAGAAATCAAAGAAATCAAAGCTCACAAGGCTGTTCTAGCACTCTGTGTAGTGCTGGCAGCTTTGTTCTTCTTAAATCAGTGACAATTCATCTCAGATTCTGATGGACATCTCACTATTAAGGTTTGTGTTATCTAGCATAGGAAGATGACTTCTGACCATTTTTGATGAAGAAACCATCAAAGCTGGAAGTTAAACATTCCTTGCTGTGCTCCATCTCTGGCTTTCCATTTGAATGGACAGCACTCTGGCACGCTGCATCTCCTGAAAATGCAGTGTTTACTGTGAAAGCTTTTTCAAGAATTTTGCCTTATTGGTGGCAAGATCTTGAAGAAAAACTTGCGGTGACAAACTAATAGTTCAGGACGTCTTTATAGTTTGTGTCTTTTTTTTAATATAACTTATGTTGTATTGAGCTAAATCTTGCAAGTAGTGTTTGAAAGAGAAGGAAGGGCTGTTAGTTTAGAACTGGTTCTACAAGGTACCTGTCCATATAAGGTTCCTATATGCTGCAGTGACAAACTGAATTTCTCTTCATAGGACCCTGAGTAATAAAACCATCTTTACTGTTGTGACTGAAGAGGGAAAATACATCTGTGTAAATCTTATTGGTTTGTTATGCCATTGGCTGTACAAGAGCACTACTGCTGCCATTCCTCTCTCAGGTTTGGTGCACTGCTGAAGAAGCTTCACAATATTATTCCAATACTTTTTAGAGTTCTCATAGTCATCTTCAAGAAATATAGCATGCTTAAACTTACATATTCTTGCAATACTGTAACAGTTTTTAAAGAGAAACGAGCTAATTTAGTTCAATGGAAGGCAGTTTGTGTAGGGATACTGTTGTAATTCAGCTGCAAGTTTCTGAAAAGGCAGATGAGCAATCAGGTTTAAAAAGAAATAAACTTCCTTGTGTGATGTTTGTATTACTATCTTACATATTCTTTCATGTCCACAGAACAGGTTTATTTACTCCAGATATGGCATTTGAAGCTATTGTTAAAAAGCAGATAGTGAAGCTGAAAGGACCTTGCTTAAAAAGTGTGGATCTAGTGATGCAGGAGTTAATCAACACTGTCAAGAAGTGCACTAAAAAGGTAACTTGCAAGTAGGTCTGGTAATGTAAGTAGAATGTAATTTTTATAGTAGTTAACACAAAGTCTTTCTTGCATTTTATGGTATTATAAAAGATATTGTTATTTTATCTGAAGAGTAAGACTCTAAATAGTTACAACTTCTGTCAAACTCCAAACAAAGTAATAATGAAAATAACAGCCAAAAGTAGCAAGTCCTCGAGTAGGTCTGGGATGTGAGTACTGATGTACTGAAATTGTTGAAAAACATCCTGGCTTGTTCTTTGCATCCCTCTGAACAACACAACTTTTTGTACCAATGAGGAGATAAATGAAGGATTTCTTAAAACAGGGCAGGTTGCTCATCCTTTGGTGAAGATTGTAGGGAAGTGCGGAAAGGATTCACAATATTTTGAGCTGAATTTGGAGGATATTGTTTGAGTTAATTGTGCAGATTCTTTCTTGTTGTTGGCTGCGATTGCTTCTGCATTTTATTGATCACGTCTTAAAGTACCGTTATTGAGATGTAAAGATGTAACGTGTTGCCACAAGGTGGAGCCTTTAAAGAACAAGAAACTTGGAAAATACTGAGAATGCTGTTCTGGAATTACACACAGAACAAGAGCAAAGCGTAGAGATGTCTCTTCAAGGCTGATAAATTTGTCAGTTGGTAGTATGAGCTCTACCCTGCTCACTTTTTCATGAGTAAGCACACTTGCCGCATATCACATCTTTTAGAGTGTGCTCAATGTTCAAGTGTCATGTACAAGCTTTCGTTTTGCTTTTTTCTTTTTAGTTTGGGTTGGTGTTTTTTTTTTTTTTTTTTTTTTTTTGAACTATTCAAACATCCATCTTATAGGTAATACTGCAGCTACTGTAAGTTAGAGTAGCTAAGCAGGATAAGTGAACAACTTAGAGGCAAACGTACCAACCGGTTTAAAAAATTATTAATATTTTGTTGTCCATCTTGTGATAACGGTCAAGGAGATAAGATAACTCATCATGGAAGTTCATTTCTCAAAGTTATGTGACTTCTGAAGAGCCAGGTAGAAGTATGATTTCTTCTTGAAATGGATTTTTGTTTTAGCTGCTGAAGCTTTGTTGCAGAGTTCTTGTACATGTCCATTCAGAATCTGTATGTTGAGAAAGACAACCTTTACCTAATGCCTTCCCATTATTTTCTGTGGAGCTTTGTGTCAGATGTGGGATGTATTCAAAGGATATGCAGTTAGTTAAGAGTGAAGTGCTACGTTGTAAGACTGGCCTTTCTAACCTATTATCCCAGATCTGCAGTGAGAGTCTTCCCACACCTCTGAGCGAGATTGGTTGGATTCTTGTGAATGTTTAGATTTCAGTGATGCAGTTACTTTTATATTCCAAACAATTCTTTTCCTCCTCATTGTTCTATAGAGCAAAAACACCGAAAAAAAGTCCAAGGGTTTACATCCCTACGGTTTCTCTGGAAGATCACTATTAATAGCAAGGGAGGCTTACATTCACCAAACCATTTATAATACTTGCTTTCCTCCAAGAAAGAAAGTTGAAGTTCCTTTGTTTACATGTTATTGAAGCTATCCTGCAGATATGAATTTTTAGTATTTTTGCTTTTCAGTTGGCAACCTATCCAAGATTATGTGAGGAAACAGAAAGAATTGTTGCTGGCTACATTCGTGAAAGAGAAGAGAAGACCAAGGATCAGGTGAGAATACACAGGAGTTCAGTGTTCAGGGAAATGTATGGAGGAAGGAAGTTATTACACATAAAGTAAAATAACAAAAGATGTTTTTTGTAGCAGCAGGCTACACAGTTGAGAATAGGTTAGAAATTGCTCTTCTACCACTAAGCTTTGACAGAAGAGACTAAATTGTTACAGAAAATCCTAATCTGGTCTTTCAAGATAAGTAGAAATGGCAAGCAAAGGTACTGGCAGTACAGCTCCAGCATCAGACATCCTCCCTGTCAGTGCCTGTGGACCCGAGAGGTAGGCTGATGTCCTGATTCTTAATGATTTTGTCTTCCCTAGTAACAGCTAAACAACCTAATTTAGAATAAGCCTTTTATTCCTCTGCTTTATGGTGAGGATCTGAGTCCTTCGTTATAGGTTCATCATCTTCCTCCTCATTGTGCTTTTTGTGTACTTCTTGGAAATGAATGTGTTCCTTTCACAGAGAGGTAAGAGAGGATGAAAAGGTGATGAAAGAAATTACTATCTGTTTGTTTTATTTAGACACAATGACTGTAATTCTTCTGTCCCTCTTGATGAAAATCTGGGCATATATTTCTGGGAATTACTATAAAATAAAAAAGGAGTTAATCATTATCATAGATTAACTCAGGACAGTTGGCATCTTCATACAATCTCTAATGCTGTTTTCTGTTTAATCTGAAAGTGGAACCCAGATACGCTTCTCTAAGTGCTCAAAGTTTCTTCTCATTTACTCCTCCTTTTTTCTCTTAAGAATACTGATGATAAAGAAGAGGTGCTGTTGTATCAGTGCTGTGGTTGTGAGTTGGGTAGGATGATCTCCTGATTGTTTTATGAGCTGGCTGGGCATGGTCCAGCTCCAGAATTGCATTCAGGGTAATGCAACTTTCCTCTTTATCCCAGGGCTTAATGGCTCAGAAACAGCATTATTTGACTGGGCAAGCAGCCTCTGGGTGACAGCACCTTTTAATCCAGTGAGCTCAAGATATGACTTAAGGATACTGGGCCTCAATGGCAGTGTTGGCTTAAAATAGCGATAGCTTGTTCCTGTACCACAGTGCACAGAGCTGAGCAATTTGGCCCTGTCTGTCCCTGGCCATGTTGACAGACTTGCTGAGGTGCATAGGTTAGAGCCACTGGAACTGACCTTTGAATGCTATTGTGTGCTTTGAAAGGTAGTATCTCCAATGTGAAGATTAGAAAGTGATCTCTAAAATCAGAAAGAAAAAGTCCCTACTTTTAACTTCTTCTAAAAGACAGGGATTGCTATTAGGTTGGTCATTTCTAGTTGTGATATTTTAAACTTGGTTTTGAGAGTTCGTTAATCAGTACCATTCAGGTTCATGGATATATAGCTTTTCTGAGTATAGTTTTCCTTGAAGTATAGAAAAAAATAAATGAATAAAATGCAGAGAAATGTTTTTAAAATATTTGTCACCCAGTTAAGCATTCCAAATCCAGGAAACTTTAAGGCTTGGACTACATATGAGAAAATTTACCGAAGATGGAAATGGAATTGTTGTCTGGGGAGTGCAGAGTGTGACAGGAAGTATAACTGGGGAAGAAGCATTGAGCAGAGCTCCTTAGTTCTCGGCTCTGACTAGTTCTCTCCACATGCAAGATAGTAAGCTGTGCAGCATATTCTGCTTCTTTACAATCACAGAACAATTTAAGTGAAGTCTTAAATAACTTCTAAGAACATAGTGGGCATAAGCTTGCTGAGTGTTCTAGTTGACTCATTTGGTTTCTTCAAAATTTGGAAGAAGATGCTTAGAATAAGTAGTCTCTCTTTTTTTTCCCTCCCATTCTTCATTATGTGCTTACACCTGGCAATTTCCCAGAACAATGTACAAAATACCATCTTTCTGTATAAGACAAGAGTTTGTCAAATACGTTATTCACAGCCACATCATTATTTATGCTGTTAGCAGCTTATCACAATTAAATCAAAATTCTAGAGAGGTTATTTTTGGAAGGTAAGAGCTAGACTGAAATCCCCACTATCTTTTGCACAGCGTGAGGCATTACATGTTTGTTAGAAATGATGGGGAGTTCAAGAGTGATACTACATTTGTAGAGCTGTGCAGAAATAACTCTACAGTTTGAGGAGTATGAAAGGATCCAGGTGGAGTTATTCGTAGTGCTTAAGTCTTGCTCATAAGCACAGTATTGTGATGCCTTGATAGAACACAGTAAAGCATGTGGATGTTAGGGTCTCTTGGGGAAAAAAAATAGATGGGACTTCTTTGTTAAGAGAGCCTGGTATTCTAATGAAGTGGTCATTATGTCAGTATTTTATAAAAGTAAAACTCATACTTCATTTTCACTGCTGAGGCTTATCCGTCCCAAGTGTTGTCCTTTCAGTCTGAAAATGGCATTTACTGAGAAGCTGACACCTCAAAGGCATCAGTGTGGACAGTGGGTAATTATGCAATTTAAATTGTTAGCCCTGGTTGTGAAGCTCTGGATGGGAGGGAGCAGAAGACACTAAAGGCTTCCTCTTTTGTGTTCAGCAAGGTCCTATGTGAAGTGTTGGGACTTCTGTGATAGCAATGTTTCCTCTTAACTTCCTGCTGATAAACGGAAGTCTGGAAAGATGAAGGGAAAGTACAGTCATGGTTCCCTTCAGTCTCATATCTGTTCAAGAAGCTGTCCAAGGGTGGAATTGAGCTTTCTCCTATGCCTTATTAAACTCTTTGCCTGGGTAGATTATCAAGTTTGATTCAAATTTGCATCTAAAAGGACTAGCAAGTAGTAAGTTGAAATTTTGCTCTTTCACAGATCACTTGTTTCATTATTTCATTGACGAACTTATCACTTGTGCATGGCGTCTGCATCAGAATGGCTGCTTAGTCCCTGGACTGTACATTTCCTGTCACAGTTCTAGCTTATGTATCACTTCTGCGTGAGGTACCTAAAGCAAACGATGCCCTGATATTGTAAGGTTCCTTGCTGGCTTGACTGAAACGGTCCAAGTAGACAGGATTAGACCTAGCTTGCAAAAACTTGTTGCATATTATTAAGCTCTTGTTGACAACAGATAGTTGGTCTTAAGGAGCTGAGCAAATGCAAGTTGGTGAAAATTATGTCTATCAGAAGGGGGGAAAAAGAACAGCAGAGGGAAGTGTTAAGCTTTCCTGTAATCTATCTTATAACCAAGTATATGAACAGAAGTGGTATGACTTAGAAAACTTTTGCTCGAACAGTTATGTAAGAAATATTGAGAGAATATGGAGAAAAATGAAGGTTTCTTTTTCTCAGTTTTTCTCAGTCTCACTCTTCAACCTCACCTTTTTTTTTTTTTTTTTTTTTTTTTGGTCTGCTGTCTCCCCTAATAGGTGCTGCTGCTGATTGATATCCAGGTTTCTTACATCAACACCAACCATGAAGACTTCATTGGCTTTGCAAAGTATGTACATATAGATTCTATAAAGACACTGGAAGAGTGGGTTTTTTTTCTTAATTTAAATGAGTTCAACATATGTCATGCTGTGACAATGGGGATGGAAGCTGCAAAATCCCAGTCATGCAGGAGGATGCTCTTTTTCAATATATGCTTGTAGTGGATTCTTTACCCTAGTTCACAAATCTGATTTCACTGAGGATTTTATCTTGGTTGGGAATCGCATCGATTTTTAAGAGGAGGCATTGACAAAGCTGTTGATGTATCCATTTTAAGGACACAGAAATGTATGTTATTGTGGACTCTCCTTGTTGCTAATGCTTGTTTTGGGAGCTGTGATTCTGTGTAAAACAGTTTTGCTTGGAGTTAAACATATCACTGAATTTAAGTGTCAGAAGTGTGCCTGCTGTTTGGCTGTAGAGAATAATAGCAGAATAACTTCCAGAGCCTGCTTTGACATTCTCCTCTTAATTGAAAAGATTGTGAGAATATTCTCCAAAATGTTCTCCCTCAGCTCCCAGCCAGTCTTTTTTTTTTTTTTTGTCAGAGACTTCATACCATCTCCTTGACACTTGTAAAAATGTTAAAGATGTCTCCATACTTTGACAAATAAATGTTTCTTCAGTCTTATTCATTTTCTATAACAGTGTTTGGAATCATAATGGGTTTCATCTACATGTGGTGCTGGAAACTAAGTTTGGCAGCACTGTACATGTTATATTATGGCCTATTCTACTTAGTACTGAAAAGGAAGGTCTACAACGTGGACAGCGTGTCTTGAAGCTATAATACAGAATTCAAAAAGTTGAGAATGGAAAAGGCAAAGTGAGGCACTGTTTGTGTTTAGCTTGAACAACTTTCTCTGATATTGTTTTCAGGTCCTGGATATCTTTATCAGTTCTTTTGACAAATGACAGGATGTTGTAGGAATGGTAGCTGGCCTTCTAGAGGTCAAGACAACAACCTGCCTGCTATTTGCTTCACTTCATCCTCTTCTGACAGGAAAAAGCCTGCTGAAAACACCCCGTTACATAGTAATGGTGTGTTGTGACCTTGGGAAATCACATAGAGAAACAATGCTGAGTTCAGACCAGTTTGCTCAGGGATTTGTCCTGAAAATGTCCAGGGGAAAAAAAAAAACAGATTCTCCAGGTTCTCTGTGCAATCTATCCCAGTTGACTCTCTCCTCACTGTAAAAGATGTTTCCTTATGTCAGATTGGAGCCTCCTATTTATGGCCCTGGATTCTGGAATGCCAGGTATATTTGGAGCTGCTTCATGCCTCTTTCCTGGAAAAATCCTGCTCATGGATGCTGTTTTTAGGGCCTGTAGTTCAGTCTGTGGACCTCACTGCTACATCCTTTTCCAAATAGTTGCAGTGTCCAGATTCTCAGCAAAGCTTCTTCCTCTTTAGCCAACTGAGATCTGGAAATTCCCAGCCCCTTTGTGAGGGACATGAGCGGATAACAAATGGCTCTAGACAGTTTTACTAATAACTATAAGTTTAAGCAAGTCTGTATAGGAGTTGAAATTGATGACTAGGCAAGTTATTTTTGTTGACTTGTGATCAACTGGAAGAGAAGACTTGGTTAATTAAGAGAAATTTAATGTGTAATATTTACTTATGACCTGAACGGTAGAAAATACACATTTTAATCTATAATCATATTGTTGTTTTAGCAATTATGCTAAAACTTGAAAATGAAATCATTCTGGGGGGAGCATGCAAACTTCTGCAGTATCTAAACATCCTGAAGTGTAGCTTCCTCAGATTTCCTACTGTTTCCTTTTGATTGCTGAGTCTTCTAACCAGCTGTCTCCTGTGACTGTATTATTTCACAAGCCTAAGTCCAGTGAACCTTCTTCATATGAACGAGAGCTCAAGGCATTTCACACTGTTGTGCAGCATTGCAGGGTTTGGGGTGGTTACAGCGTGATGTGAATTGGCTTCAGAAAGTTTTAAGAGTGCCAATATTTAGAACAACTTTACGTAATTGCGAAGAAATGTATTCATTTTGGGAAAATCTTAGAATATTAATACTTGTCTCATTTAAGTGGGGAATGACTGGTAAAATGCAGGGATTGGGTTTGTTTCCAGTTTGTGTAACTCTAACATAACTACGTGCTTCAATCTGCATGAAGAGTAATTTGTATTTAGAACAGTAGATGGACTACTGCTAAAAGATGTGGATTTCTTAGTATGACATTAGTTGTCTATTTAATTGTCTTTCATAAGACAATGAACCGAAAGAGAAAAACCAGCAATGATCACTGTAAGAATGGCAGTTAAGTTTTGTAAAGATGTATTGTGCTTCTCAGACAACTGGTCAGATCTGAGTTATTGCTCTGTTTTCTATATCCTGGTTGTTTAATCACAATTTGTGCACCAAAGTTATGATGATGCATAGGAAACATGAACTGCTGTTTGACCAAAAATATTGAGAACTAAGCCCAGCAAACAGATACATCACTCTGGATATTCTCTCTGACAGTGTGTGGATTGCTGGTTTGATAGATTATGGCCCTAAGGCATGATCAGAGTTGGGACAGAACTGAGTTATGATGCTCCAGCAATTCTTTGGATTGGTATCTCTGCATAAAATGATTTCAGCCTTGGGAACTTCAGTTGTGATCTAAGCACATCTATCTTTCTTACTCTTTCAGAATAATGTTATAGCTATCTAAATCTGTGCTTTTTTTTTCCTGTCACTTAATCAATGCCTGCTGAAATAGTATAACGTAATCCAAAAAAAACTTGCTGTCACCAGTGGCTGCTCTGGTGGTAAAGCAGCAGAAGCCTACTGTTAGAACATCTATTTCCTATTTCCAGCAATATTGCAGTTGTATGGCCTACCATGTAGAAGCTGCATAATGCAAAGGCTTTTAAAATTAATAACAACTTGTGTATTTGGGAAAGGAATGTGTTTTGTTTCAGGAACTGGGATTACCAGAGTCCAAGAATTAAGAAAAATATTTTAAATGTTATAATTTTAAATGTGTTCTGTTCTTACAAGGTTCCAGGTTTTTGAACCAACTTCATGGCAGCTTTGTCCATTGGTTAAATTTACACCCTCAAAGTGCATATAAATATTAGAACAATATTCAAAACAAACTGTCAAGACAAAGCTATTAAGAAGTCTCCAGCAGGGGAGGATTTTGTTGTAGTGCTCTAAATAACAGAAATAACTCTTTTTTTATTATTATTATTTTTTGTCTTTTTTTAATATTTATTGAAGCTAGCATTTCCAAAGTTACCCAGATGAGCCGTAATCTCTCTGTTTTTAGTAACTTTTACCGTTGTAAGTAGAACGTTGTTGCAAAGGAGGTGATTGGTAGGGGTTATTTGTGCATCTCTCTTCTGTGCTAAGCAGGCAAATATTCCTATAAAACGAAGTAGGTGGAAGTGTAAAAGAGGAAAAAAACACAGTGAAAGATGCACCTATATGCAATGATTTTGCTGTGTTTCTTTGTTACACTGGCTTTATGTGCTGGAATCAAAAGTAACTATTATTGCTATAATCTACTGCTCAGGAACTGGTTTAGTTTTTGAGTTTCTTCAGCATAACTTTTTTCCTCTGCTTTCCTTAGTGCCCAACAAAGAAGCAGTCAGGTTAACAAAAGTGCAGTGGGAAATCAGGTAGGCACCTTAACAGAGAATGGATAATGGCATGTGCAAGTTAATCCAAGCTGTCTGGTGTACTTGGCTGCATTTATTTTTTTGTGGATCTATAATTTACCATTTCTGCATGAAACACATAAAATGCATTATCATCTCCTTCTTTTACTGAAGTTTTCAGAGCCACCTGAATTTCATTGTTACCATCATTACTTATTTAAAAACGTGCTACTGCTTGCCCTTCTGGTTAGTGCTTCCCCTCCCACGTCATTTAATGCATTGAGTCTTTCATGTTACACACAAATGCATTTTTCCATTAACTGCAAGCTTGTGAATTTCAGAATCCAAAAAATTGGTGAGTACTTGCTTGTGTGTTCTTTGTCACTCAGTTTTTTTCTTGTTCTCACGTGCTCACAGCTTAATAGCAGCAAAGGGGCAATTCAGCAAGCAAAAACAGATTTGCCCTTACCTCTGAAAATTTTCAGTTAACTTCTTGAAACTGTTGACTGCGTACTGTCATTTTCTTTCGACCCAAACAAAAAATAAGTGCTGATCTCAGTCAAATTAGTGTTTTCACTGAGACTCCTTCATAAAACCAGTTGGCTTTTTGTTTTTATCTGATAACGATATGGAATTGATTCTGCAAGGTGCGAAGTGCTGCTAAGCTTTGCTTCTGTGCTCTTGTGTAGGCCAGGGGTACTTGGTACTTCACAGGATCACTCCTAGTTTAATGTCAAATTAAAATAATGAAAATGCTGCTGAGCATTTCTGCTTGCTTTGAGTGTTTTGCAAAGTCTTGAGCAGGGAAAAAAAAAAAAAGAAAAGGAAGTATTGTAGAAATAGTACACACTTTAATGGGTTTCTGTAAATTCTACTAAAAAAAGCCAATCAGATTCAGTATAAATAATTACCCACATTGACCATCTTCCTGATGGTTTTGTGAGCAATGTGGTCAAAGGTGTAAGGCTGAAGTTCTCATGTGTGACCACTGAATATAGATCCCTCAAGTACTAAACCTGAGGTTTCAGAAAGTCTCTATCTGTGCTGTCATAAATAGGAGGTTATAGGATTGACTCAGCCGTCTTTTTGGAGATGGAAAGCCAGTCTCCTTCTCACACCAAGAAATTGGAAGCTATTTTATTAAGACATTGGTCAAAATTACTCCATTAAGTTCTTGAATGTGATGCTCCCCCAGAGCCTGAGCGGTGTGAGTGACATTTCTGCTGTAATGTATGGTTTGGACTAAAATGAAAAAAGTTGAAAGGTCTAAATGCTGAAAAAGCTTCAAAGACTTGCCTCTCCCCTCTGAGGAGAGATTTCCTTCTTATCTAGCTGTGCCGGAACATGTGTCAAACACAACAACTGTCATCACTATGGAGTGTCCCATAAAAGGAAAATCAGCCAGTTATCTGACTCTTCAAAAATACACAAATGAAATGAATGATTTTTTAATTAAGTGAATGTTCTCTCTTTAAAGAAGTGGAGATGAAGCTGGGAGTTGTAAATTGTACACTGCAACTCAGTTACTCATTGGTATAAAGGGCTTTGCTGAACCTTTTATTTTAAAGATAATAAGCAGATGTTTGTAAGTTAATTGTTTGGAGTTGAAAACAATGAGAAATGTTTCTGAAATAAAACTTCACTTTTGCAATTTGCTGTTTCAGGGAACCAATCTACCGCCTTCAAGGCAAATTGTACGAGCTAAGTTCTGTAAGCTTTATTGTTGCTTTTTCATTTAGCTTCTCAGAAGAAAAGTTTGTCTCTAACTCACTGAGTTTTTTTTTTAATACTTGCTACTAAACTACTTCATGTTGAGCTATTTTGTTTGTAACCCTTCCTCAATGAAGTATAATTGCAGTTCATCACTTAACTGCCACTAACGTGCTGTTACAAGTATGAACCTAGCATAACTCAAAATGCTATAGAAAATGTTGAATAAAATTAATATTTTTATAGTTTACCAAGTTTTTCAAACTAAAATGACTAACTGATGTTTATTATATAATTGGAAAGCAGTGTTTATCTTGTGTGAGTGCCTCTATTTATAGTAAACCTTTTCAATTTTATTTTTTGAAAGGGTGGGTGAATAATAGTTTTTGGTAATCAAAAACAATTTAGCTGTTGTGGAAATGAACATGCTGTTTATGGTTACAGGTACTATTACTGGCATTGTTGGTTTACATAAAGTAATTACCTCCAATAGAAGAAATAAAAATATCTAAAGCCTCTTCAGTATTCTTCTCAAAGCTCCAAAAGGATCAGTATATGACGGACAGATTCCTTTCTACTCCTTCCATCTCATGAATAAATAAAAATGTGAATGCATTTAATATTACTAATCAGAATTAATTGCCGAAACAGCAGGCAATTTTATAACAAGGTATTTCTGGTTCAGTGATGTTTAGGTGTAAGAAGTAAATTTCTACCGTGTGCATTATCTGATATCTATGCTGCAAACATACACATTTTTCCAGTTTGGGGCCATATCTTTAAATTGTATGACTAAAGAGTTTAGTAAAGGAAAAAAAAGGGCTGAGCAGCACTGATCCTGACGGCAGTGGAATTGAATCTGTCAGGGGAATCAAGATCATTCAGTTTTCCTGCATTTTTGGAGTGCTTGTTTGCAATCACATTGCTTTTCTTTTTTGTGATGTGCTTTGAACTGGTATGATGTAAATAGCTATTGACTGTCTTCATGCATCTCAGAAATATGTTGGGCAATGTTGTATTTTAGGCAAAGAATGCGATGCCAATTCCTCTTAACATGTTTTTGCTCCTTTTTCTCCTGCTACTAATTTATCCTCTCATGCTCAATCTTTGGCCTCTCTTGTTTTTTCTTTTCTTTGCTACCGCCTGAGGTTTTGACCTGACTCCACAAAGTTTCTTTTTAAGCCACAGGTTAGTTTGTCTTCTAATTTGCTTGAAATAATCAATATAATGCTTAGTTTTGCACAACACACTAACAAGATCCGGATCCTGGAGGCTGGTCCGCGCTTAGCTGTTGTATTATGTATGTTGAGATTTGCTTTTGTTGAGAACTTCCCTTCCTGATAAACTTCAGAAGATGAGGATGTTGTGATCCATGTGCCCAGTCAAGATCGCTGTGTGTGAGAATGCAAACCGCTCCAATTACAGAGGATTAAATTTCACCTGTATAAAAATTCTGTTTTGTGTTTCTGCTACTGTTCTCCAAGTTGCCCATGTAAGTGGAGGAGGAGATTAATGTCAGTGTAGTGACTCGGGGGTTTGGCTATAAAGGTTTTGTTTGACCCACCTCGTTTCCAGCAAGACGCCCATAATCCGATTCACTTTCTCTGAATGCAAGTAGCGTTCAGACCCTGGCCTCAGCTATTGTGCTAATAAGTAGCTTTTTGCACTAGCAGTATCTTTTTTCCTGTTTCTTTTTTTTTTTAGGAAAATTATTTTTAATTAACATAGTCTTCTCTTCAGATGCACTTGAATCATGTTACCTTGAATGTCCCAAGAAGAAGCATATTTACAGATCTTTTTTTACAGCAACTGGATGGAAGTGGAGACGTGTACCCTGCTCAGTGAGGTGGTCTCAGAAAGTCCTGACGAAGCAGTTCTGTTAAGACATGCCAATGTTTATGTGAGGGATTCTAGAAGTGGAGCTCATGAACAGTAGCATAATGCTAAACTTTGAAATATCCTTGAACAAGTCATGCTGCTGTTGAGTTTTCACCTTATCAGGAGTAGGGTTGTACTGTTCGAAATGATGCTTACTGATACTTACTTTTAGATTATTATTGTGGTTGATTTGACATTTGGAAGCATATTTCAGTTTTCTACTGCTGGGTGTTAGTACACACTACAGTTTTCTTTAAATTGGAGGTGTGGACTTGGTCACTGCCATCTTTTCCTTTCTTCTGAAAGTAATGTGGTATATTGTGCAGTGATCTCAGGGAAATGATGTCATTTCAAGATGCTTTCTGTTGCTGGACACAGACAAAATGCACAATGTGTTTATATTCTGTAATTTAGCAAATTACAGCAAAATACTGCATTAGCACAGCAGTACTGATTGTAGCGCAAGAATCTTCATAGTTGAAGCTGAAGGATCAATAGCTCGTAAGGATGCCTCACTAGTTCCTGCAGTTTGTTTTCTTCCTCAGTGTGCTTGTTACTTGGTAATGCATGCTGTGTCACAGCAATTACAAGATGAAGTGGAGCTGTGTTGGGTCTGGTGTTATGCATTCAGAGGTATTTCAATGGAGTTACGTTTCTTAACTTCAGTAGAAGACTATGTTAATTCAACAAAATGCTGTGTTGTAACGTTGCTGTAGGCAGGCTCAAGATTTTCACACTTGTATTTCTGTCTGCTCAGCCAATTTTCCCTGTCTTGCTTTAAATCGTCTTTGAAATACTTCTTTTGAAATAAGAGGAATGCTTACTGAGTCTCTTCTGTATTTCTTTCACAAGTATCTTTTTTGATTTAATGGAATGAGCAAGTCAAACAGCAATCCCTAAAAAGCACTTAGTGTGTAAAATCCTGTTTTCCTCTTTAGCCCTGAAATGGTGGCATATAAGCACAGACGTGATTTGGATTTCATGCAGCAGAGCTGTCAGAAAGCGACTTCCTTCTGGCTTGTTCATGTGCATTTGTGCCCTCTAAGCTTCATCTTTCAGACACCCAGATTAGATATCAGGACTCTGAAGGAAGGAACTGTGTCATCTCTTGTTCATCCTGTACATGGAGTCTGACTACCGGTCAGAATATCGTCTTTGCTAGCTTCTGGCAATACTCACATTTTTCACCTTCCTGAGGCTTGTAAATCACATTGTGACTATCCGGTTTGTGCAGAGTGACATTTAGAAATCAACACAGACTATTCAAGTGGATCTCCTAAATCCAAACCAACCAGAAGATGAACTGAGAAAACAATAGTGAAAAACGCAACGTTCATTTTCCATGCCGAGTAGTTGAGTACTGTACAAAATAGCTAAAGTGACCGAAAACAAATAAAGCAGACACAAATTGGAGTTCTTAACTTCAAAAATCTTTTTGAAAGCCTTTGCTGCCAATTGCAGCAAAGGGGAGGGAGGACACCTCTAAAATACAGCTCGGTTTATCTTCTGAGAAATTTGCTGAGTGTAAGGTGGAACTCAGCTCTTCTGGAAATTAAAAGTGCATTGCTTAAAGTCACTTTGTTTTGCATTTACACCTTGATCTGACATTTCCCTCTCCCCTGACCCCAACATTGATACTGAGTATTTTGAAAGTGTAGCTATTTTTTGTTTAAAAATAAAGTATATGGGAAATTCAGTGAACAATTCAGTGAAAAGAACATAAGGTTCCACTGTTGCTCTTTGGATGTTATAGTGCACCGAGATCATATTCTCTGCCATGATGTACCCTGAAACTGCTTTCAAGTATTTTTTGTAATTATGTTTTGCTGTAGAGATCAGAAGTCAGTACCCTGTTTTTCAGGAGAGTTATGCATTAAAAGATGTAGCAATTTGCTCTCTACAAACATGTGCCCGAGGTATTGCTATAGCTTGGTGCCCTGCTCCTCGTGTCACATTGTGTGCCTAATCATCAGCACACAGGATTCTTGAGGAAGTAACTGTCAAGTTCTTTTGTTTACAAGACAGCACCCAATGTTTGTACTAGCAAGTCAGCTTGTTTCTGTTCACACTCAGTGATAGTGAAATGTGTCAGACTGGAGCAGGGGGGTCTTCTGGAGCTATTGAGACAGTCTTTATATTTATAGGAAGGAAGTATTAAAAGCTTCATTTACTATTTAAATGTCTTGTATAGGTTAGACTTTAAAACCTTAGCTTAGTCTGCGCTGAGACCTCTGTTGCAAATTTTTTATCAAAATGAGGAAAAACTGACTATCTTAACATTCTACAAAGTCTGTCTTTTATGATGAGTGAAAGCATTGGTTGGAATATGTAGATTATTATGTCTCATCCATTACCTGTAAGGGGTTTAATCCTGCTTCTCAGACGTTCTCACCAGTTTACTTCTGGAAACCACCCTTCTATTCCTACTGTGGTATCTGTCTTTAAATCATTTACCCTCTCTAAGATTTGTATCCAGAACAATTTGTAGTACTGTGCTGGCCTTGGCTGTTTGTGCTTCCCATAAGCGACATGTTCTACACTGGAAGCAAAACAGCACGTTAAGTTGTGGACTGCATGGTTCAATGGCATCCTGTCCTATCTCCTTAAGTGAGCATAACATGAGGTTAACTGCCTTTGAGCATTTGCTGTGAGGTACAGGTATAGCTCACTTTGTTGAGAGGCAAAGCTCAGGTAATTAGAAATCCCTATTTGACTAAATTTTGCCTAAAATTTCTTCCACAAAGCTGCATTTATGTAGTTCAGTGAAAATAAATTAATAATAAAGTAGATTGGTTCTACAACTTAATCTGTGGGAGATACATGAAGGCCAGTACGCTTGTTTGGATATATTCACGTTACTTGTTCTCTGTTAAAACTTCACTTCATTAAGCAGCACAAAGTAAAATGAAGATTTGGTGGGTAATCAAATTCTTATCAGCGTGGCTCCTTTAAGTTGCACTCAGGCCAAAAAACCTGATGCTCTCAATATGTGCAGTACCAATCTGTTTACCAGTTTGATGCAACTTCTAATATCTTTCCTACTCGGTTTGTTCCTTTGCGCAGTGCAGTGCCCAAACTGCTCAGTGCCATGCTGAATGGAAGGGAATTCTGACCCTAAAACTTCATGTATGTCAAGGAGTAGATGATCGACACTGAATGTTTTTCTTGGACTGACTGTTGATATTGGACTTCTTAGTCAAGTTCTATGAAAGGAATGTTGCATTTTTACCTTTCCCGTAGAACAGGAGGAACCTTAGGTTTGATCACACAGTCCCACACTTGTGGGACTTGCTGAGGGAATTCTGGAAGGCTTTTCTAAGCATTTTTTTCTTTCCATCTCAGTGTCTCATAGGCAAGGAAAGGGTTTTCTGACAGGAAGAACAGAATGGTCTGAGGTTGCCTGTACCTATGAGAGGAGTTCTATTTGCTTATTTAAAGTCCGATAGGAAGAAACATTTATTTATTCATGTATATAACAGAAGAAAATAAATGTTCCAATAAAATTAAAAGTTTCCGTCTGTATGATGCATAAACGAGTTCTCATCACTGGTCTCTCTTCTGATTCATCTCTAGAGTTCTCGTTCCTCTCCAGTTTTCTTTTGTCCCTTTCTCTCTATATAAGATGGCCTCCTGGCCTTAGTACTTACAGGTCTGCTTTCTCCTCTGTTTTTCCGTCTTCAAGTTGTATGTTTTCTGCAAGTTCTCCTTTATGCATTTCTTCAATCGCCATTTTTGCTTTGTTAGTTTTTTCTTTTTCTCCTCTTTTACCTTACAAGAGGAGAACAGCTCTCATGTTCCTGTCCTTATCACATTCTATTGAATTTTGGAGAAAGAGGACCATGGACTGCAGAAAAATCTTTCAGCTTCTGAATGTTCCCCATGCACACCAGAAGCTGTGTGCTTCTCCAGAGAGAAGGTGCTGTTCCTAGAACTGTCAGTATAATCATATGTGAAGTTTAATGGACTTCGACTCTGTGCTGTTATGCAGCAAAGAAATAAAAGTTTGCATTACCCTTAGTTCATTTGTACTTGCTGTAAATACAAGATAATCTTTAGGTTTTCTTCTTTCTCCAGCTTTTTGACTTTTTGAAAGTCAGGAACTTGAAAAACACTGTTTTGAGTTTACTGGGCTAAAAAAATGTATTTATTCTTGTTTTATTTAACAATTCTTCATTTAAAAGTATGAATGCAGCGACAGAATTATGTTAAATGAATAATGAACTTAACTTGTGCCTGACTGCACCTCTGCACAGGTCATCCGGAAGGGCTGGCTGACCATCAACAATATTGGCATCATGAAAGGAGGATCCAAGGAATACTGGTTCGTTCTAACTGCAGAAAGCCTGTCTTGGTATAAAGATGATGAGGTAAGAAATGAAAAAATGATGTCTACTAGAAAAACAATATTCATTCAGTCTTCTGAAATCACCTTAAAATATGAAATTAATACGTACTGATCTGAATGAACGATTTAAGGTTTCACCTGAGTTGTTTTAAATTCTTGGTTTTGATTTATGAAGAATGCTGACCTTCTAAGACTTCCATCAAAATGTTGGTGACAAATATAGGGTGTTGTGATGGGTTTATTTTGTTTTGCTTTTATTTATTTATTTACTCTTTAAACTTCTCTTCCTGTGGTTTCACAGATAGATCTAAAATAGAAAAAGCCCATTTTGGAGTGGTCTGTTTATTTTTATGTGTTTGTTTGGGCTGCTCTTATATGTCTACTGTAAGTTGATCATAAATTGTTTGGTTACAGTTACTCCTAGAAGTAACTACAGCAGTTTATTTAGTGATAATAATTGTTGTCTGGCTTCATGTTCTGAGAAGCTGATAAGCCTGACTGTGGTGTTCTGTAGCCAAATGCAGTGGGTGTTCACATTTGCTACTGGAAAGCCAGAAAAGGCCCCCTGTTAAAAAATCTTTAAGTCTGAAAAAAGTAGTTCTATGATAAACAAGATGTTTATGTTCCTTACTTTATGAAATATGAATATGTTGTTAGGCAAATTTGGGAACCAACTTTTGCTGATCTGTTCTGCTTGGGCTTTTTTTTTTTTTTTTTTTTTTTTTCCAACAATGTTAGCAATAATATCCTCTATCCAAAACTCAAAAGCAGTTCTGTTGTTACTTTGTTGTGTTAAAGGTTTAAATGGGATTATTCTGTACGCTGTTTTTTTTTCTAATTATCGTTGGAAAATTGGGCACAGGTAAAGAGGGAATTTTAGTGAATGTTTTGAGTAATAGTTACTCCAGTAATACTGTTGATGGTGGAAATCATGATGGTCAGCAGAGAGTTTTCCCTCTGTCTATTGCCATTTTGAAATCTTAGGTAGATGGTAGGATTGATGGACAAATTAGTTGAACCTTGAAGGTTATGCCCCTTACCCCTTTGTTTAAGGTGTATAGGAATTTGAATGTACATACTATAACAAGAAAATGATTAAATTTTCAGTCAGGGATGTGCTAGGTGGAAACAGGAAATTTAATTCTATGATCATTAAATTATAATTAATTGTGTAATTAAAAAAAAACAAACTGAAGTTGCCTTTATGAATGTGAAAACTTGTCTTTGTTTCTGACCTGCCTTGAAGAACTTACTGTCTTAGACTAGGTACAGGTAACTGACTACAGGTAAGTGATGTGCTGAAATCTACATCCCTTCTATTTTCCATCTCAAGCACTTGGAGAAGCATCTAAGATGTGATGTGGCAACTTCTGTGGTAGTTTTGATGTTGTTTTTTTTGTCTTATCTTTGTTTAGTGGGAAACATAAAAATTCCTCCAAATATTTATGGAATGCCCTTTGCTATGCAACTTGAAAATAACTGGTTTGTTTGTGTAGTGTGCTAGAGATAGTCACTTGGGAATCTTAGAACAGCATGTGGAGAGAATTGGCCACTGTCTGATTTCCACGTGTATATTTTAATTTTTTTTAAAGTTTCTTAGTTGCCAACCAGGTGTGCTTGAGAGTCGTGGAAATACGTGGAGTTCATTCAGGCTGATATGGGCGATCACTAGGAATCTCTTATGATAGTAAGAGAAGGTAACAGAATCATAGAATCATCAAGGTTGGAAAAGGCCTCCAAGATCATCCAGTCCAACCATCCACCCATCACCGATATTTCCACTAAACCATGTCCCTCAGTACAACATCTAGATGCTTCTTGAACACCTCCAGGGGAGGAGACTCCACCACCTCCCCGAGCAGCCCATTAACTGCACAGTATTCCACATTTTGGGGGTGGAAGAAGTTCCCTGTTGAGTACAAATTTGCTGCATAATTTGATTATTCTGTTTGTGGAATAGTTCACAAAGTTATGTTGGGTTTCTTTTATTTCAGAGCCTTTCCCAGTAGGACTCAGAAATTAGTGAGGTCTGTTTTAGACGCTTTGTAAAAACAGTCAAAGCCACCTCTTGACCATTTGGTTAATCAACAGACCGGGGGCTTGTTTCAGAAACAAGACTACTGGCTTCTGAAAATAAAGCAGCAAATATTTGCTCTCCTGGCTGAATTCCAATTTGTGTAATTATATTTAGTGTCCTTAAAATGTTCTCCTTACTTTCAGCTCTGTTTGGTAGTTGTCACATCCTGTTCTCGGATCATTATAGAAAAGGCTGCATGCTGCTGAGTCTCCACCCCAGGAAGATATGTGGTGCTCAGCGACGTGTGAAGTGATACTGATGTTTACGTGTCTGCCTTGTGCCCGGCGCTGCACGGGTGTGTGTTCAGAGAGGTCACAGGGAGTTCAGGTCCCTCGTGTCCCTGCTGGGGCTCCTCCCTGGCAGTGGGAGCATCTCCTTACTTCTGGGGGAGATGCAGCTCTGCTCTCCCCTTTGTTCTCCCAAGCACAGCAGTGAGTTCATTCCCCCTGTGCCTCTACCCCTGAGCGAGGACGGCTGCAGCTTCTGTGCACCAGAGAGCTCTGACAATGTGCTTCACAAAGCCACAGCGTTTGTTGGGACCTCTGGGGCTGTGTACCCCCTCTGGTGTAAGCTGAGCCTGTTCTGTGTAGTCTGGAATTTACTCGGAGATGAAAATCGCTCTCTCAACACGAGTAATTGCTAGTGCCATTAGGAGGATGCAAATTATTTCTTCTACTTGTAAGCTGTGGCTTTTGGAGCAGAGAGTACAGTGGAATGCGTTTTGAAGTAAAGCATTTCAAAATTTGTTGCATGGTATCAAAATTGGAAAAAAAAAACAAACAAAAAAAAAAAGGGACCAATAGTTATTGATGTGGTTTTGCTGCTGTTCAAACATGCAAGGGGATTTTAGTGCTAGATGAGATGAGAATCAGTGCCTAAGAGTTCTTTTCAATCCTGTAGTTATGGATCACCGTGGGTACAGTGGTTATGCTATTAGTATGTGTACACTTATCTGAATTAGTTTCTGGCCCTGCACACAGTTGCTTGTGTTCATAAAATTGTTGCATGACTGCGACTTTGTGCTTTTCCATGAACTCAAGATTAAGCGTGGAAAATGTTGTGTACTGCTTTGAGACTGTTGTAAATAAGTGCAAAATTAGCACGTTCATATAGCTCACAAATGCAGTTTTCTTTAGTGAAGTACTCTATGTAATATTAGCTGAAGACTTACAAGATGCATCTCCTACAAATATATATATAATATGTATACACACACATCCATTTGAAATCATTTCAGCTCTCAGTTGTTACTGCTTTCACACAAAAAGCTGTATCATTTTGTGCTAAGATTCACTTAAAAGCCAGCCTGCAAATCTGAAGTTTTGGAATTAGCAATTTCTACACTGGGACAATACAGGCTTTGGGAATGTGGAAAGTTGTTCCAGTGGCTCAAAAGCTCGGCCATAACCAGGAGGACACCGTCGGTAAAGCAATGCTGCATTTTACAGGGCATGGTCAGAGAACTTAATTTATTATTCTTTCCAAAGCACTCAGAGCCTCAGTGGAGACCAAAGGATGCCATGCTGGGGCTAGGATAAGAACTTCTAGAAATGTGAAATTTTTGTTAATTTGAAAAATCTTTTTAATTCTGATTTTCAAATCAAATATTTCCTTTTTCCTTCAATAGCAAAGGGTTGTATCTGGTGATAGATGCAGCCTGTGTTGTAATTTCAGTTTATTCCCAATTGTAAAATTCAGTAAGGTTTGAGAGGGAGATAATAAGAGAGGGGGGTAAGAGAGCAAAAAGGGGAGAAGTTCCTTTGGGCTCTGACATTGTGTGTGTTTCTAGGATTGACTTGCCACACAGCAAGCTGCGCTCACTTGTATGGCTAACAGCAACACTTGTGGTTCTGCACAGCAGCAATCTAAGAGCGCGAGTTGCTCGGGTTTTATGGCTGAGAACTCTCTCCTCCCATTTACTGTGGTGCCACAGAGCTGCACGTAAATAAAACCTGTCATTAGCGAGTTAATGAGAACAACTAGGAAAAGAGTACTATAGAAAGCACAGTAAAAATTTCAGCAGTGGGTTTTATTGTATTTTATAGGCACTGTTGGTTTGACTCTAGGTGGGTTGCAGGACGCGGCTTGGTTACTGACCGACCATCTGAGATCCAGAGCGACTCGTGGCTGCAGCTCTTGCTGAAGATGCTCTGGGGTGTCAGAGCCGGCTGTCACTCAGGCTGGGTTGTCATGTGACTGCCTGTCTGTGCCTGCTGTACAGGTGAGAGGATGTTCTGCACAGCAAGTGTAGACAGGCAGACACATGACAACTCCGTCCAGCCAGTCCCTTGGAGCCATCACCGCTGGTGGGGATCGCTTTGTACCCATCCGCTTTGGGGGACTTTGTTGGGGGGAGCACACAAAACAGAATTAAACTTTAAAGCATTGCGAGCTGTAGGACAAGAACGTAATTTGATTTTATTCAGTAAAATAAGCATTTCAGTACATCAGTTGGCATTGTGCTGACATGGATCAGATACGAGTTCAACACGTGGAACAGTCTTTAAAAAAAAAATAATTGAAACCGTAATTACCGTAATTTATTTTATATGCAACTCATGCAGGAGTCTGCCTGCATATTGCACTCACACGTGGTAACATAACCAGATGGTTTGACTCTTCTTGGAAGCACAGAAATACTGAAGTTCAAGATAAAGGATATGTTTACACAGTACATATTTTCTAGGAGCAGATAAGTACAATAATCTTGCATGTTAAAAATAAATAAAAATCTTCCTGTACAAATGGAGACAACAACTTGCACATTTACCCAGTTAAGGGTGATGTACTGGAAAGAAAACCAGTTGCATTTTATATCCATTATGGCAATATGTGCGAGCTGTCCCATTACCACGATCATATCACTTTAGTATTTTGCTTTGCATATTATTTCAATTTAGCTCTCTCTCAAAATCCATAATTTGTTAGAAAACAAATTTGTTGAGCTTCAGTCAGTTTTTCAGATCAATATTATAAAAAAAAAAAAAGCAAGTAGTATCATTTACATTACAAGATGTGATGCTTCACTATATAGAAAATACACACAGTAAATGTAATCCAATTTTTCAATGACATTTATGTGTTGAGGCATTGTTTCAGAAAGTATAAACACATAGACATATAAAAGAAGTAGGAGGTAAATAGTTGTATCACTTTTTTATACAGATGGAATAATTCTGTTTTGTAACGGTGTTCTTATATCCCTGTTGCTCACTAGTGCCTCCATAGGTAAGCAGCAAGCCTTCAAACCAGTGCTAAGTATATCCCACTTAGAAGAGGAGCACTGAAGCTCAGGTCTGAGAGCTGATTGCAAAAGGGGTGCATTTACCAAAGGGCTGATGGTGTGGATAGTCCAATAATAAATTAATATGTAATTAGTGTGTCGATTTAGCAGTAATAATTATTTTGATTTAAAATTAAAGACACTTTAGCTAATATGCAAGAATGATACAAATTAAGGACCTAGATTACATAAAATATATCTATTTTCCTCAAAACTAGCAAAATGAAGTAATGTATCTTAAAAACATAAACAAACATAAAGCATGACTAGCTAATTTAGGCACAATAGATTAATTCCAAGTCATTAAATGTTCTCCCTTTAGTTTTATAATATACTTGCTTAAAATTTTACTTAGAACTCGAGAAATAAGTCTGGGCGCTAATATGGCACAGCACACCTCCCTGCCCACCTGGTAATTCTAATGCAAAAAGTGACAAGTGAAAAGTACTTTTAAAGCACGTATAGCAAACTGCTTGTTTTATATATAACGTCTGAGTTGAGTTGTCAAATAAATCAGTGGTTTGGGAGAAAATTAGGTCTCAGTTTCTGTGCTGTGGATCTTTGGAAGAGTTGTACGGTAAAATCATTGGCAAACAATAGTTTTTAAAAAAGACTGGAAAAACAAAAACATGCATTGTAATTAATAGGTTTCCTATTAGCAGCTATCAGGGAATTCGTGAGTAGGAGTTATAAATGAAAGGCTGTGCGGTCTTTCTAATAACTGTGCATAAGGAGAATTCATCAAGCAATCAGCAAACGGCTGTACTTGTTGTAACTGGGGCACATTCATTTTGCCTTCAGAGAATTGGGATTGCTCGTGGTACTGCTCTGCCTCCACTTGATTCTCATTGAAAAGCAGATATTCTTAAAAGTTGGATTCTAGTTGGCTTGACAAAAGGGCTAAACGTCTGTGTGCTCTGTCTGGTTCATTCATTAGGTCAGGAAAGGGCTTAAGAGTATTTTACAGTATTCGTAACAAAATGCTATGATTTCCAGTGTTATTTTTACAGGAACATATAGGAAGGATTTGGCTTTAAATATAGGTAGTTTGGAAATCAAATTGAGAATTATGTTCTCTCCAGCTGTGATCGAGGAAGGCTGTTATTTTTAGATACCGTTTTGCAATGCAGCATAAAATGCAGCACAGAAGCACAATAGCATTATTCAGGAAAGTTTCATTCTGAACTCTACAGTTTTCCTGTCCTTTTCTAGGTTTAACCTGATCCTTAACATTATTTTAATTAGATTTTGTTAAAATGAAGTGCAGTTTGGGAAGGAAAGCCTTCTGCAAGTAGTTGTTGACTTACGTCCTTGATAAGAACTAAATAAATAATAATGACAAAGAAGGAGGAAAAAAAACCCAACCCTACCCAGCCTAAGATTTACATTTTTTTCCATCTTCCAGCCTGCTCAGCATCTTTTGATGTCAAGGTAATCATCACTTAACTCTCTATTGATGAGTTCGGAACTGTTTGCCAGTATTTGGCTCTTTGGGCCGTCCTGTTTTGCACCCAGCGATGGCACCTGGGTGGTCTGAGCAGCGCCTGTGGACATGCAGTGATGGTGCAGGGAGGGGGGCAAGGAGCGTGGGGAGCAGAGCTGCATCCTTCCTGACATGCAGCCGCATTACAGAGTGCTGCTGACTGTAGTGCAGAAGGCAACGAGCGACTTAAAGACAAGGCTGAGAAATGTCAAATGCCATTTGTTAAAGTGGTTTTTTGCCCCTGGATGCTCGCTTGCTCTGTAATTTTGTAGGGTTCAGTGGCTTCCCACTCTCCTTTTTTTTTTTTCTTCTTAAAAAAAATATACATATAGAAAAAGTTTTAAATACTTTTTCCTCTTCCCTATTTAATTTTTTTTGGTTGTACTAAAAGATAAAGACAAAAGTTCATTATATTGAATCCCTGATCTCTTCAACTGTCCACATCTGCTTTTCTTAGTTTTGAGCATTGTATGATAACGTGAGCTGTATCCTTTAACTCCTACTACAGATTTAAGCTTTGGTACCTCTCTGGTTGCACACAGATCTCTGTGATTAATTACGTATTGAAACTTGCTCTCATATATATATATGCTTGTATATACATATAGTCTTTGCAAATAGTAATGATTTTTTCTGCTCATGAAAAAATTGTATACGGCTGCCTTGTGTTTATTGTCATGCCTATTTAAAACCTCTATTTTATAACTTTGGAAGTCTTTTCTGATTATAATCAGCTAGAACTTTTCCTAGCTAAAACAGAGCCGTTTGAAGAAGCAGAGAATCACTTAATTCACTTTGGAAATGTTTTGATTGCTGAGTCGAAGTAGATATACTTCCTTATTCATCGCTAACAATACAGGCTTTCTTCCCGTATCGGCTGCTTTGTGCACAGCCCCCCCTTCCCAAGCCCCAAGCCAAGGGGCCTCCTAGCTCTCAGCCCTGCAGGCTAAAAATGTAACTTTGAGCAGTCATGGGTGTATGGGAGGGGAATCGCTTCCTAAATCCAGAAAGGCCATTTAAAATAAAGATTAATGCAAATGGCAGACTAGAGATAAGAGAAATACTCGTTCTGTATGTATTGGTGCTCTTTGCTTATTTAGCCCACAATCATGTAAGCTATCTCTAACAGCTGTCTCTAACGGGGTTTCGCACACGGCCTGTTAACGCTACTTTCTTAATTTCTAGATCAGAATTCTCAAACAAACAAAAAGTGGATATGCAAATATGCAATAGATAGGAAACATACTTGTGAGCGTTTCCCCTGAAAGTGTAACAGAGCAAGTTTCTTAATGCAATTTGAAAGCCATTTTTCTACCGCTGTGACAAAGTCATAAAACTTCTCAGATTTTTTTATGCCTAAAACAGCAATCAAGCTTAAAGATTGAGAAATATTAAAGCAAGCCTGACTCTCATGCCATTCCTTTAATTTGTGCCTATTTCTTCAGCTTTGCTATTAATGACTACATTTATCTTGCTTGTAATTTCACTTTAAAGTAGAACGAGGGTAAAAATTCCTTCGGACTACATATGGATTAAAACTCACTAATTTAACACTGAAGATAATCTTTGGTGAAATAAGGGAAGAGAGGGTGAGCAACCTGGAAGTACATCTGCAATTAAAAGAAGTAATCATTCTTTAAGTCAAAATGCATAAGCTTTTTTGGGAGGGTAAGGGAAATGGCAGTGCTAGCTGTCGCTTTGCAGGCTGAAAGACAAGCAGTATAGGCACAGTCACACTAATGCTACATGGCCGCGTTCCCAAAAGGACTTCTATTGATTATTGAAGGAGCAGTGAGAAAGGTAATAATAATATACGTATTTTTTTTTAATTGTACAGCATCAAGGCTGTTTGGAATATAACACGCATTCTGCATAATTGCCTGCTTATTATACTAATGGCTGCATATTTCTGCTAATTCTTTTTATAGTACAGCTATTGCAAGCCTTCCTGGCCATAATGAGCACCATATAGATGGGATTTTTTTTTTTCTGGTTGCAGTAGTTTGTTACTAGTGTTAACTTTAGGGGAGCTGACTCTGGAGTTCAGCTGGTATCAGATTGCAGCCCAGACTTTTTGTATTATTCTGTCCGTGGGGATTTCATTCAGCCTGAGGGTTTTTTTCCCCTACCAGGACAGCTGGAAATTCACCAAAGCAAACTTCTGCATTCGTTTACAAATTCCATTTCTATCAGTGGGATTTAGGACAAAGTAACTTATCATTTTGTTAGAAGATGTTAGAATGTTAGAAGAAATATCAGCAAAGCAAGCTATTCATCAGCGGCAACAATCAATCGGTGTTGGTCACTTACAAGCAATAGCCAGGCAGGTATGGGGTGGAAAGCTGTTTGTTCTGTTTTATTTATTGATTGATTTGGATTACTTTTCCCCATTACATCCTGCGCTTTCAGAGGTAATTTTTCCTTAACAATCAAATATTTTGTATGCTACATGGCAGAAGCCAAGCACGGAGTAGTCATACATTCCCTATGGCAACCCTCCCAGTTTTCATTAGTACATAGAGCATAGGTTACTTGCAAAGAAGTTTCAGTTGCATAGAAAATCAAAGTACAGTTCTCCCAACAGCGACATAATATATTTTACAATAATTTTAAATAATATTCATGCATTCATTTATATTACTTTATTACTTTAAGAGCAAGTATTTTCTTAAAATTGATCTTCAGATCAATAGTTCATAACAAGAGCTATTCGGAATACATATTTCTAGCAAGCCTCTTCTGCATTAAAAGAAAACAATATACTCCTTAGATATTTATACTGATTGCTACGAGTAAAAAAATATTAAATTTACCTTTTTAGTTTGTGGGCAAAAATAAACTTTATTTTAAATTTAAAAAAAAAAAAATAAAAAAGGAAATGACCGAACTTCAACTATGCTCTTGTACACTTCTCTAAGCAGTACACGTCTAGGTAGTATACCTCTCTCATTTCTTGCATAGGTTTTAGTAAATCATCAGAGCTCCATCTTTCTTGCAGTGATGACTGGAGGAAGGGGGGGGGAGTCACCTAGGTTTGCCAGGTCATAGGCCAGGTGTTCTTCCAAAGTAGGCCTTACCAGAATGTCTTCCCCGCATTATTCTGCAGTCCTCCTTTTTCACAGTGTCCCTTAGCGTTTCTTATTCCCTAGTGTGCAAAACCTGTGAAGAAAAATACTGTATATGAGATCTGAAAGGAGCAATAACTGTCTTCTCCTTGGCAAGAGCAACTGGCGTCCCCAATAGTCCATGTCGCTGCTTTCCCTTGCCCAGTCTAACCAATGTGCAGACTACTGTACAACAGCATTGTCCTGAACAGGTAGTCTGAACACTGGGGCGACGGAGCAGGATCTCCGGACGCTTCTATTTATTTATTTTAAATCCTCTTTTAGTCTTTGGGAAAAACTGCCTTCCTGCATCACGGGTTGTGCTCGGCTCTCCCTCACACTCTGCAGCACTCACTGAAACACACTGAAGTGCTGTGATTTCCAGTCTTGACGTGGCACATTTGCAGCAGACTGGGGATCTGGCAATGAATTTAGGACCAGGAAAAGGGGGAGGGCTGGGCCTGAGAGTCCATATATGGGATGATGTCACCCTAGGGAGGTTTGGGTATGCACTGTGCCGCTGGTGAGACCGCTAGAATTGCCTGCTCTCAGACATGGGTCTGTGTATAAAATGGTACCAGATGTTTTAGTGTAATGTTAAGCAGTCATTTCATCTTCAGGCCAGATTTTTTTCTTCAACCGGGCAGGAAGTGGGCCCCAGTATGGAAAAGCTGTAAAAAGTCAAGATGTACAGTTCTGCTGCAGCCAACGGAGAGCGAGTTAATGTAGGCAGAATTTGCTGTTTTCTGCAGGCTGAAAAACTGAATTTATAAAAAGAATTCAGCTCGAGAATCTGCTGCAATAAGCCAATGCTTATTTTGTTTCTTTTTAATGCCTCCAGTCGCGCTTTTATATTTTGGCATTTCAGACCAAGAAAAGGGCAAATAGGTTCATTTTTTCTTGGAACTGTCAGCGGCATGCAGGCTGCCGAGACTTGAACAGTAATTAGAGTTACTTCCTGAAAGTGAAGCCCCCATGAAAAGTCTGGAGAAATGTTCTTTGTCATAGCCTCTACATGAGTAATTAGTTCCACATGTGGCCTTCCTATTTCCCTTCAGCTATTTTGGCTGGCTGGCTGAATACTTTGCTATAGCTCAAGACTTAAAGAAGCTTTAAAGTTTTCATTTCAAGCATCCACTGTGAAAATAGCTATTTCTGGTGTCATAATAAATTGCTTCTGGTAGATCAGTGCTATTAGGCCTGGCATTGTTTTTCACTGGTAACCCTGCTGGTCCCATTTTTCTTTTAATGGTGCTTGGTGGAATTATCCTGCTAAATTTTATCTTTGATGTTTACCAGATCTATTGAATTTTGCCAAGTATGACTTTACCGTAGATTTTAAGATATTCTCCCCACAGGCATCTGTCCGTTCTCTCCTGTAGACTTTTTTTTTTTTTTGCTTTGCTAGTTCTCCTGTTGATTCTAAGTGTCATACCTTTTTTCTTTTTTTTTTTTTTTTTTTTTTTTAATTTTTAACCTGGCTTAGCTTGTAGTCTGAAACTAAGGGATATTTAACCGGGTAAGCTCTTCCAAAGTCATAACTGGAGGTGACTTTATATAGGATATGTGCTCGATGTGCTCCTTTATATAGGATATGTGCCAGTAGCTCTTTTTCTGCCTGGAAGTTTGAGCACTGGGACTTCGTTCTGAAAGGTAGATATCCACCAACTTCCTGAACAGCTTTGGAAAGAACTACATACATAAATCTAAATGTGTGCTGTGAGTTCTGCTGTCCTTTGTAGGTGATGGCAGATGCTCTGAGAGCCATAGCTTCTAGAGGCACACACAGGGCAGGTTGCAGAGCTCTAACTTCAGAGAGCGTTAACACAATGAACTTGAACATCAGGGAAGGTGGTTTCAGAGACTCCAGCCAATGAGAAGGAAAAGTGACCTGCAGCTGTTTTGTTATGGTAGCATGCCAAGTGTTGTCTATCTCAGATTGTGCGTCCAGTTCCACCATTTGGATCACGGTAGGCTGATGTGCATCCAAGCAGTAGCGAGATTTTTTTAATTAGCCAAGGTGAAGTTTTGGAAATGCTATAAAAGGAGGCCTAAGGTGCAGTGTTTGACTTTCTTAGACAGGTGTATAAGAGAAAGTGAACTGACGCATGAGAGCTTTTAGAGGTAAGGCTGTTAATACAAACAAAATAGGAAACACTGTGGACAAGTCCAGAGGGCTCCTTGTCTACATATCACAGCACTTGCAGGAGCCAGCCTTCTTATTGTATAACCATTTAGCACTTACCTTGCTGCAGAAGAATATGATTTGGGAAAGAGTGAGTAATGAGAGACTTCTGTAAATGGGACCCTAAGTATAGTGGGTCAGGTTTTCTGCAGTGAGGAACCATCAGAGATGAAGAGCAAGAAATGGTTGCGCTGTCAGGAAAAGACCAGGGATCCTTTGTGTACCAGGAGAAGGAGAGGTGGTCTGACACCTCAGTCCCTGCGGTGGGGGTTGCAGAGATTCTGAACAAAACAAGAGGCAGTGCATTAAAGACCCAAGCAGGCTTAGGATCTGAGGAATGTGACATTCTGAATTTTGCTGCTGACTGCCGCAGCATTAGTCTGTGAATTTTTCACGAGATAGTTAAATAGAAGCAGAATGGCTCATTGCACTGCAGCCTGGAAATTTTCTCCCTCTAAGCTTCTTTCCTGGCAAAAGCTGAGCTCTGGAGGAATGGAGTACATGAACAGGGGTTTGGGGCTTGTTCTGTGTGCCCAGAAGGATGCTAAAGCCTTATCAGGGAGAGCTTCTAATACAGTGCAAAGCCATTCAGACCTCTTAGGTATGTTTCTTTTTTCCTTCATAGATTCTGCTTGGCTTGTTACGCACATCTCTGTTAAGCATTTAGATCCAGCCCCTCCTTTTTCACTTGATCTCTATTTGGAAGGCTGTAGGCCCAAAAAGAAATAGACATTTCGATTCATTCTGATAACATGTGATACCTGAAATATTTAAAATCTTCTGTTGAATGGCTTCCCAGCTATCCTGTTGGTTTTAAAAGTGCATTTGACAAAATGGATACACTTCTAAGGTTTTTGCTTAGCTGTAGTACTGAAGTATCAGGTCGCTTTCATGGCTGCAGTAACCTTGACTCAGAGAGTTTCTGTCAGTAATAAGTTGTTACCAGAGCTCATCATAAGTGCCTTCCAAACGTGAGGATAGGTTTTCGTTTTTCGTGGGTGTGTTATCATTCTGACATTTCTGACATGCCCATGAATTCAGCCCAGTGATCAAATTCTTTTCCACAAGCCTAAAATATTCTTTTATTATTTTTATTCTATTTTAACTTTGATGAAACTAAGGATTTTGCAAAGTCCAGCTTCTTTCTTCTTCATTGATGCTTACTTGGAAGACCATCATGAAAAAGAAAATAGCAGCACTTCTGCTGGATTATTTCCTTTTACTGGCAGGACTGCATTACAGTTCCTCTTCATGCTGAGCAGGACAGGCTTCTTTTAAATGATCTTGGTGCATAGATAGCATGGGACCTACATGCTTCTTGTTTGTAAAGCTTTCTGGGCTGTATTTACACTGGAGAAGTAGTTGAACTGCTGCTAACACAAGTTTTTACATTAAAAAATTATCGTAGCAAGTGTCTGGACAATTGTAAATTTTGTATCTTTAGTTTTCAGAAGCTCTAGATATGATCCAGGGAACTACAGAACAGTAAGCTGGATGTCTGCAGCTGATAAATTAGTTGAATAATAGCAGACAATTGAACATAGTTATTTTTGAAATCATTCTGCAAAAGAAAGTTGTCTGTCATAATTTGTTCTGAAGTTCTTGCACATCCAGCAGGAAAGATTAACCCTTTTCAGCACTCAAGAAGCTAAATCATGCCTTAAGAGGCTGAGAAACAGGTAGGCATAGAACATAGGGAACAGAACAGGTAGGCTTTTTCATTAAAACAAAGCAAAAAACAAAAACAACAAAGAACTCCAAACCAGCATACAACCACATACTCTCAGGGGTCACCAGATTTAATACCACGTATTTGTAAAATGGCAATTAGTAATAATGTAGGGAGAGGACAGCTGAGGGCTGAGGAAGCATCTTCATGTCAGGAGAGTATGTCTGAGACTTGCTTTGTCAGCATTTGTCACCCATTGATGAACTGATATCGCTGACATCAGGGCAGAGTCTAATGTAGTCTTGCACTCCTGCTGTTTATTAATGCTTCACTGCAACTTGATGCACTCGTTTGTTTTTATTTTTAATAAATGTGCTCCCTAGCAATTTTGTTACTTCTGGCAAATGCACATAGGAATGATCTGTGCTTGCAGGTAACTGTGTCCATGGCTATGAGAAAGAATGAAGAAGTGTGTTGCTCGTTTTGCACCTTAACCTTGTTGCCTGATCAGCCTGATCAGTTGATTGGAGCTTTGTGACACGACAAAAAAAAGTACAAGGTTGACAGCAGTTTCCAAGTACTAACTGAAAAATCCCTTTGATAGAGGCCCCTGTAGGAAGACTGCATTACTGTTAGGAGCCACATCTCTCATCTCTAAGTGCTGCTCAGTTTTCTGAAGGGTCTGCCCTTGGTGTTGCAGGTAGTGGTTTGTTCTTTTATAAATCACTTCAGTCCAGATCTGTGTATTCTGGATAAGCTTCCGCCTCTGTTGGGGAGCTCTGTGAGTAAAGCCCCTAAACACCAAGTTCCTGGTCCTTTTCCCTTCTCTGACCTCTTTTTCACTTGTTCCCTCTGGCCTGCTTTCTCTCTTCACCAGACACCTACCTAGGATACCACAACATATTCGCTTTTCCACCTTCTCTGTTGTGCTGTTTTCCTTTCTCCTCTGTCTGCTCTGCCTGGGCTTTGCCTCCATCTTTGCAGGAGTTTGCAAGAAAGACATGAAAGGGGAGAAAATGAAGGTGGAGGAGGTCAGTCCCTGTACTTTGGGCACCTAACAGTTTCGGAGCTTGTGTTCCTTGTGTCTTCAGTGAGCAGGGGACAGCTCTGTGCCAATGAGTTGGGTACTTGTAGTTAGCTAGCATCAGCATCCACCCTTGTGTATTGAGGAAGTGAACAGTAATGAGAGGTTCAATACTGATGCCACTTCATTTGTTTTCCTTTTTCCCTCATTAGCAGTCCGGTTATTTTCACCCTGGTTATGATGTGTCGTTTTATAGTCTTGTATTGTTCAGTATCTTTATTGCCTTAGAGACAGTGGTCAAATTTTACTAATGTATAATCAGAAATGTTTGAAAATAATTGGAGTACCATAGATAAGGAATGCTTATGTTTGAGTGACTTTGTGTTCCCTGTGTATTTTCCAGCTTCATTTTTGTGTGTAGCCATGTAACTGAACATCTGGCCTGGGATTTGGGCAGCAAATTGTTTTTAGGGAGCTGTGTAAATTCAGCACAGCGGTAACAAGTGATTGTAATGTCTGAATGGCAGCGTTTAGTTTGCATAAAGGTTATTTCGTTCT